TGAAAGAGAGAAAGGGGGTCGGATAAATACACTTAAACGAGGATTTCGTTTTACTCCTGTTGAGTTCTAATGGATTGTTGATTGAGATTTTAGGGGCCTGGAGCCGAGGTGTCAGTAGTAATTTAAAGGAGGCATTCAGCATCCCAGCGCCCCCTCCTCCCCTCCCCCCTCCCATTCACGCCTGGGAGCCCGGGCTGGGGGGGTGGGAGGCCCAAACACAAAACACGGTCGTGCAAAGGGGAGGCATGTCCGAGGGAAGGGGCGCCCTCTAGAGCCAGTCCGGCAGGGGGGCGTGTCTTGCTCCTTCGGTGCCCCACACCTGGGCCGTCCCAGGTGGGCCCGCAGCTCCCGCCCCCTGCCCCCCCCCCAATCCCCAGGCCTAGTGGGTGCGGGCCCGGCGAGGTGCGGGCGCCCCCTGGCGGGATGCTGGGGAACCTTAGCTGCAGCATCCCACCACCTGGACCGTGCACCCACCACCTGGACCTGTCTCTGGGTCCTCCCCGGCGGCTCGTCCACAAAGGGGCGTTTCTCGCCTGCTAACTCCAGAGCATCGGTGGTGAGCGGGAAGGGGAGGTGGAGCAAACTTCCAGGACCCCTGCCTCAGCCCTTAGCCCCCCGGTGGCACTCATTTAGAACCCAAGACTCATCTGCCGCAGGGCAGCTCCGTTGCACCGACTTTGTCTCTGCTACCTGCTTGCTTGAATTGGGCTTTGCTTATGGTTTTGGTTTAGGGGCCATGCTTGAACGGTGATGTGGGGTTATTCCCCGGGCATCCCTGGGGGGTCGCTTCTGAGGGTTCTGCTGGATGGCGCCAGGGTCAGCCACACTCAGGCCAGGGACATGACTCAAAGGGGTCGGGATGTTGGGATGCCGCAGTCTGGGGTCCACCCTCAATCCCCCCAGTGGCTCACTGAGCACCAGGCAGGAACTGAACTCCCAGCATAGATGGGTGTGATCTAGCGCCCACATCCTCCCCAGATAGCCATGGTCAGCATACATGGATTTCCAACTATTTATTAAGAACTGTGAGGCAGAGAAGAAAGGCCGCTGGGCAGCTCCCGGAGAATGCACCAGATCCCAAAAAGAGCCGAGATCACCGGGAAGTCCCAGATGGGGTAAGTGCCGCATCCCGCCTCCTCCAGATGGAACCCTGGTGACCATAAGCCTCTACAAGCATAAGTTGAGTATGCGGGAACCAGGACCTTTACTCCAAACTGCGTGGCCACTTATGCAGCCATGCGACATCTCCCTATATACAAAATGATCAATGGAAAGTAAATCATCCAACGTTTCTCCCTGAAAATCAGGTTTAACTCTTATACAAACCACAATACCCAATAGGAGAGAGAGAACAAAAGGGAATGCCCTGCCACAGAGGCAGGGTGCGGGGTGGGAGGGATACTGGGATCCGTGATGGTGGGAAATGGTCACTGGTGGAGGGATGGGTATTCAAAATAAATAAATTATAAAAAAAAAGAACTGTGAAGTCTAAGTTCACATTAGTCCAGTGAAATCCACATTGTAATTGTGCTGGAAGCAGCCCAGAGATGTGGGAATGCGCCAGCGGGTCCCAGCTCGGTGCTCCAAGTTCAGGGACCCAACGGGAGGACACAACTGGCCTGATAGGTAAATCCTTAGAAGGTGATGAGAATGCGGCATCCCAACAGACTTGGGACTGCTGGATCTAGCAAGGGGGGGGGGGGGGGAGGCATCCAAGGCAATGGTCCCTTCCCCGCCTGCAGCAGGCAGGGCATTTGTCTTGCGTGTGTCCAACCCGGGTTCGATTCCCAGCATCCCATATGGCCCCCCGAGCACACCAGGAGTAATTCCTGAATGCAGAGCAGGAGTAACCCCTGAGCATCAGAGGGTGTGACTCAAAAAGAAAAAAAACAACAGGGAAGGGATGGGCCCTGCCAGGAGTCTCCAGGCCTGGAGGAGCAACAGTGATCCACACCTACGTGTGACAGCAGGTGGGGTGTCTGGGACCTTACTAGAGGCGGGCTGCAGAGAGAGCAGCCAGCTTCAGTGTGCGCTGCTTCACCTTTCGGGCTCAGTGATTTTTGGCAGATTGGGCCTGTGGATCAGTGTAAGGGCATGAGGATGCGGTGCTGCTCAGACTGTGTGGGCTGGGGGGTACCCAGGACATCCCGGCCATGCTCGCCGCCCCCGCCTACCCTGCAAGGCTCAGAGAGTCAAGTGGTGTAGATCAAACGGGTCAGCCCAGTGCAAGGCCGGTGCCTTCACCTCTATACCACTTACTCTCCAGCCTCTCAAGTAGTTCTTCAGCTTTGATTGCTTCCTGAATCAATTGCTTCACCCAGATGCCCCTTTTCTCTCTCTCCTACCCTCACTGACTCAATGGTTAGGACCAAGTTTGCAAGACTAGATTGAAGAATACTAAGGAAAAGCAGTAATTAACAGAATTTTCAAAACTCTGCCTAACATTAGTGTTTCCGGGTAAAAGAAACTGAAGGCTTGCAGAGATAATTTAATTTGTATTTTTCCTTAATTTTATTAACTCATGTTAATGTAAACCAAAATCACAACCTGAACATACAGTTACCTCATGATTAATTACAAAGCAGGCATTTCAAATCAGCATTGTGTTAATGCTTTTAGAGCAATTATTTATTTCCGAGGTCCATTATCTGTCGAGTAAATCACCAATTTCCATTTCATTCTTATTGAATATAAAAAGATTGAGTTAGTATAAAGCTATTTCACAGCTGTCTTTATTTTTTTTTAAATTTTTTTATTAGTGAATCACCATGAGGTACAGTTACAGATTTACAAACTTTCGTGCTTGCATTTCGGTCATACAATGGTCGAGTACCCATCCCTCCACCAGTACCCATTTTCCACCACCAATGGTCCCAGCATCCCTCCCACCACCCCTATCTGTCCCCTCCACCCTGCCTTGCCTCTGTGGCTCTCTCTCTCCTTTTGGTTGTTGTGGTTTGCATAGAGGTATTGAGTGGCCATCATGTTCAGTCTATAGTCTACTTTCAGCCTGCATCTCCCATCCTGAGCGGGCCCTCCTAGCACCTTTTACTTGGTGGTCTCTTCTCTATCTGAGCTGCTTTTCTCTCAGTATGCGAGGCCAGCTTCTAAGCTGTGGAGTGATCCTCCTGGTACTTATTTCTACCTTTCTTGGGTGTTAGTCTCCCATTCTGTTACTTTATATTCCACAAATGAGTGCAATCTTTTTATGTCTGTCCCTCTCTTTCTGACTCATTTCACTTAACATGATACTTTCCATGTTGGTCCACCTATATGCAAATTTCATGACTTCATCTTTTCTATCACAGATGTCCTTAAATTAAGCCTTTGGGGTTTGCTCTGGCACCTCCAAATCAAGCATTTTTTGGTACAAATATTAAAAAAAATTAGCAAAAGTTACACTTTATTATGGTTTTAAGTTACAATTAGATAATGATTATAATTTGTTGAAGGTTTATATTTTTAAGAGCAGGAGTGGGGTACAGAGTATGAAACATATTTGGTTTTTTGTTTTGTTTTTGAGCCACACCTGCAGTGCTCAGGGGTTACTTCTGCATCTGCACTCAGGGATCACTCCTGGTGGGGCTCAGGGGACTATGTGGAGTGCCGGGAATTGAACCTGGGTTGCCCTCCTGCAAAGCAAACGCTTTATCTACTGTGCTATTGCTCCGGCTGCAATATATGTATTTTTGTAACCAACTTTTGGGAAGGTGGGACAGACAGCTCAAACAGCTGGAGAAAGTCAGTTTTGCATGTGAAAGCCCAAAGTTCAGTCACCAGTATGGCATGTGCCCCTGAGCACCACTGGAGTCATCCCTGAGCACCACTGGGTATGGCAAAAAACACAAACAAACAAACAACAAAAAAAAAAACGGTAAGTCTCCAATTCAGTTACTAATAATGGTTTTAATGTTTTTCTTGCACTAAGTTGCAAACTTCAAGTGGCAAATATAAGCCCTCAGAAACCTTCAATGAGCCACCAATGCCATTTCACTAGTAAAATCTATTTACCAGCAAAGTGCAGAATATCCAAATAAATTCACTGTTAATAAGTGGTTATATACATAATAATTTAACTAAAGTAAATTATAATGACTTTACTCCAGTTTAAGGTCGGTGAGGAGTAGGTATTTGGTCTCAGTGTCTGTGCCTTTTGTTGAAATGATTTAAAGTGACATAAGAGTGGGAGGGACACAGTATAAAGTCCCGAGAATTTGCTTTGCACACAGGTGATCTGGGTTCAATCCCCAGCACCATGGAGTCCTGAACACTGTTGGGAACAAGCCCTGATGAGCACAGAGCTGGGAGCAGCTCTCAAACACTGGCAGAGGTGGCTGCATGGGAGGCCAGAGTCTTCACCCTGTGCTGTCTCCTGCCTCCTTTGTACCCCTGGCAGGTCTTCCCGGGAATGTTTGCACCTCTAAGATGGCACGGCATTTCCTTCTTTAAAGGGGTTGGGCGGCAGAGTGGTAATACAGTGGGGAGGGCGTTTGTCTTGCACACAGCTGGCCTGTGTTTGATCCCTGGCACCCCACCTGGTTCCCTGAGCATTGGCAGGAGTGATCCTGGAGCGCAGAGCCAGGAGTAAGCCCTGAACACTGCCAGGTGTGACCCCCCCCCCCCCCCCGCACACACACATATTAAGACTGGGACCCGCTATGCGCAGGAAGGTGTGGTCTGTGGAATGGGATGTGCATCCTACAGTGGGGCTCAGGGGGCAGCACTCTGTGATGGGCCTTGCTGTCCCCAGGGAGGCTCTTCCTTGCCCCTTGTACATTTTTTTCTTACTAACCAGAAACCACATATTTTTAGAAAATTAACTTTTATTATAAAACTTTACATTATCAATAGCTATCAATCTTAATGGAAGTGCTATACATTTTAAAGAGCAGATTTGATGTTTCAGATGTTAAAGATCACAGTCTTTTTTTTTTCTCTGAGATAATAAGAAATAAACACATGTGCGTCAATCTGAACAGATTTCCCATCAGCTCGGAGCTCTAGGCCTTCTGTGACTCCGCGTCGTCTTTAAGTCTCTGTTTTTCCCTTTTTCTTTTGTTTTGCTGCTGCTTGTTCTTCCGAATACTCTTGAAGGAGACGGTCCAGCTGTGGCTCAAACTGGCTTGCGTGCTGCAATCCACCGTCTCTCCCTGGGAGAGGACAGACACCAAGGGCGCTTAGGACAACTGGATCTCCCCGCCCGGCCTGGCCCACCCTCGGCGCCCACCTGGCTCCCCTTTACCTTGGCAGTGCTGGATCACGCGGCCCCAGAGCCGGTTCTCCCTCAGGCAGGCCAAATTGCCCACAATGAGCAGGTGCCGCCGCCCCCTGGTCAAGGCCACGTTCATCCGCCGCCCGGAGTCGATGAAGCCTACGCTGAGCGTGCGCACGCAGGACAGGATAATGACCTCCTTCTCGGCTCCCTGGAACGCGTCCACGGTGGACACCTGCACTGCCCGCAGGTCGGGGTGGTCCAAGTTGGAGGCAGAGAGCGCCTGGCAGAGCTGTGGAGGGGAGAGAGGGGCGCGGCAGGGGGGAGGGGTCAAGCCAGGCAGACACAAAAGCAACTTCACGGGTTCAGGTTTAGGGCTCTCACACACAGGGTCAGTTTCTAAAATAATGGATGAGGCGCTCACTACTCATGCGGTGCCAACCCCTATTATTTCAGAAAGGCAGGGCCGGAGAGATAGTGCAGTGGGTAGGGCACTTCCTTGCACGGGCTGACCTGGGTTCCACCCCCTGCCCACGCCCCATGTGGTCCCGAGCCCCACTAGGAGGGATCCCTGAGTGCAGAGCCAGGAGTAAGTCCTAAGTACTGCCGGGAGTGGTCCCCCAACAAAACAAAAACCAAAGGCAATGGTGAGGATTTATCTACTTCTGGAAGAATCATTTCTATATGCTAATTTACAGTTGATAAACTAGAGACAAAAATATACTGAATGCAGCAAAGAAAAAATTAGTTAGAAGCAACGGGTGCACGGGGACTCTGCTATCTGGTATCTGTCTTCTGTTTCCCTGTGAAATGTAATAATCCTGGAACGACATTTTGGAAGTCAGACTCAACCCCATCTGTCCCTAAACACAAAGCATACACCACGTTTTCTTCCCTCTAATTTGTTTATTTGCATTTTTATCCCAACAGCTGTAAACTGAATTGAATTAAAGTCAGTTAGGACTACATGTAATTATACAAAACTAAACAAAACAAAAAACAAAACCCCAGATGAAAATCAAAATGTTTCTTTTTAAAATACACTATCTGTAGTCCCCAATTTTTCAGACACTAAACCAAAAAGTATTGGAAATATATCAAGTCTTGTCCTGTAAAGTGACAACAGCCCTCCTCTCCCACCCCAGAGACCCTGCGACACAAACCTTGTACATCTGGGATTTGTACAGTGTTATCACCCCAATCATGGAACCCGCCACTCCGCTGGCGAGCAGGGACTGAATCAGCTTGAGTGTAAACGCCGCCTCGGCCACATTATGGAAGCTGTTGTCTCTCTCCATCTGGAATGAGAAAGACTCCCCGCTCTCCTTCCTGGAAAGGCTGAGAACGACCTGGGGCCTCACCCGGACAGCAGCCCCCCAAGTCCCTGGGGAGCGTCGCCGACCTGCTCCAGCCCTCGCACGTTGTAGAAGCACAGAGTGGGGAGCCAGTCCTGCAGCGGGCCCCTCTCTGCGTCGGAAACACCGTCCAGCAGGCGTCCTTCATAGAACAGGTCATTCACGATGGCACTGATGGCAGGGTGGCACCGGTACTGGGTCCTCAACAGGACTGGCTCATGACCCTAAGGAGGGCAGACGTAGAAAAGAAAGTACCACACCATTTTTCCATCAGGGGAAAACAAACATGGAAAGTACTTTAAAGTACTTAAATATTAAAGTTAAATATTAGCACTGTCCTCCTGTTGTTCATCGATTTGCTCGAGCGGGCCCAGTAACGTCTCCATTGTGAGACTTGTTGTTACTGTGTTTGGCATGTCGAATACGCCACGGGTAGCTTGCCAGGCTTTGCCGTGCGGGCGAGATACTCTCGGTAGCTTGCGGAGGAATTGAACCCGGGTCGGTCCGGTTGGCCGCATGCAGGGGAAACACCCATACCGCTAGGCTATCACTCCAGCCCAAAGTTAAATATTAAAGTACTTAAATATTACATACTTAATATTATATTCTTAGCGAGAACAGTTGAACTCTGCTAAGACAAATCATAAATTAAAAAGTTCTTAATTTTTTATTTCTTTCTGGGTCACACCTGGTGATGATCAGGAAGGGGTGTGTGTTCAGGGGACCATATGGGATGCTGAGGATTGAACCCTGATCAGCCACGTGAAAGGCAAACACGCTGCCCACTGTCTTATCACTCTGGCTAAGTTCTTAAATTTTGAATGAAAATATGTCCTGGGGGCTTAGTGATAATACAGTGGATAGGACACATGCTCTCTGCATGTGGTCAACCCGGGTTCGATCCCTGACACCCCACATGGATCACTGCCAGGAGTAAGCCCTGCACATCGCTGGGTGTGCCCCTGCACCCCCCTCCAGAAAAGGGAAAATAGAAATCTGTTCATAGAAAACTATTATTTAACATGACAAAACCGTAAAATACAAAACATGTTAAATCCTTCTATGTTTAAATTAGGCTGTGGGTGGGGGTGGGGTGGGGGGGCGGAGGCAGGCTGGGCACTCGGCATCCCCAGCACAGTGCTCTGAATGGAGAACATTGTTCCCATCTTTTGCACCCTCCCCCCCAGTCCAGAGCAGGTTGCACATAACAGAGCACTGACAGAGCAGGCAGACGGGCATCCTGTGCATAGGACGGGAGGCAGAGAGGCAGGACAATGGGGAGGTGCACCAGGCACCCCACTCGTGGGCCTCTCAGATGGTCACCCAGGGGAGCTGAGGGGTACCACGCAGCTTCACAACAGCACAGTGCCATGAGTCACTGTGACAGCCTGTCACTTGACAGCCTCAAGTACGGGTTCCACTGAAGCCCCATGGTGGTCGCACCACCAGGAAGCGGGATCCACCCCGTAGTGAACAGTACATCCTAAGCAGCGGTTACCATTAAGCAAAGTCGATCAAACAGTGTTTGTTCCAGTCCATTTTCGTGAGCGGCATCAGAGCCCTGAATGGTTGGGGGAAGCTGTTTTGGATCTCCAACGAGAATCAGCTTTTCACACTCAAACCTAAAGATCAAAAACCCAGCAATTAATGCATGCAGTGAGAAAAAGCAGGCCTGACATCATTTGCTGCAGGTTTCCAACATGCATTTCACAGTCTATATCCCCCAGGTGCGCTGCTCTGAAGAAGGCCTGAAAAAAGGATGAATGAGGGTCTAAAAAGGCTTGTAACATCGCCCAGAATTCTTTACAGATTTAATATTGCTATATAAGAAAGTGTCCCATGCTCTGCAAATAACTATTTCACAGAACACAATTTCAGAAAAAAAAAGGTGTTTTTTTTTTAAATCTATAAACTCTTAGAATGAAAGCTTTCTTAGAAGTCATTTTGCTTAAACTCTGGCTTTACACCTGAAGCCATTAGGTTCCAGACCCAAATGTCTAATGACTAGGATAAGGGGGGGAATAGCTTAAATTCTGTATAAAACCTGTGTTGGAATCTGAACTCCGTTATATTCTATGGACACAGCAACTAATTTTTTTTGTATTGTAGTTTAGTTATAAATGGCTCTAGTGGTATTCACACTTATGGCTTTGGTATACAAAGTTACTGCCCTCCCTGCCCTGCTCCCCCAAATGCCCAAGTCTCTCCATTCTTCCTCTTCCTCCTCCTCCTACCCTCCCCCACCCCCACCCCCACCCTGGGATTGGGGCTCTTAGTTAAGCAGCCTAAGGCCAAGGGTGTGCCCATACTTTCCTCTCTGGAGACCACAAATGACTGAGATCACTCAGTGTCTGTTCCCCCTCTGCCCATCTTGCTCAGTGACAGTCCTCCATTTCCATCAAGCTGCAGCGGACTGCAAGGTTTCCTCTTTCCCACAGTTACTCGAGATCCCTCTGTGGGTATCCACCCACCACGTCTTTATACACAGACCCTGGCTGTTGTACCAAGTGGGCATTCCCAGGTGTGCACGCATCTTTTCAAATTGCTTTTGTGCCTTAGGGTTAGAGGGTAAGAAGTGGAACTGCAGCTTCACATTGAAGCTCTATTCTTGTTTTTTTGAGAAATTGCTCCCATAGAGGCTGAACAGACAGCGTGCCCCTCCAGGGAGTGAGGGGGCCCTTTCCTACCACAATCCCACCCACACTGGTTTGTTCCACAGTCTTTTTTTATACAGGCCGTTCGATTTGCATCCCCCTGATAGTAAGTGACAGCGGGCACATTTTCAGGGGGAGGAGGGTCCACTCCGTAGTGCACAGGGCTTACTCAGACACTGCGAAGGGACTGCTCCTGGGGTGCGGGGGAATGGACGGGGGTTAGCTGCATGCAAGGCAAGTGCCTCCTCCCGACAATGGACACTTGTTTCTTCTTTTGCAAAACCAGCTTGGGGAGGGGGCAGGGGATAGAGCTAGAACAGGGGTTAAGGCGCTCTCCTTGCACAAGGGAGCCTTTGGGCACCACATATGGACCCCCAAGCACTAGCAGTAAGCCCTGAGTGCCACTAGGTGTGATCCAAACCCTTTCTCCCCCAAACAAACAACGCCTGATCTCATGTCCCCTCTACGTTGTTCACTGCCTGTCTATTTCTGCTCTAATTTCATGATTTCCTTCCACTTGGAGATTTCTTTGCTGTTCTTTTTCTGTTTTCTCAGGCTGTGTGGTTCAGTACTGATTTGGCTTTCTCCTGCCCTTGCCGTGAGCTGGCGTGGCCATGAATTCCCCACATGGGCCTGCGTTGCCCATGGCCCATCGGTTTGACAGTTAATATCTTTACCCTTAGTCATTCTTTTTTTTTTTTTTTATGTAGGAGTACTGCTATTTATTCAGCCACTGATTAGCTGATTGAATTGGGCATGAACTCCACCTTACTTTTTTTTTTCTACCCTTATTCATTCTTATCCAACCTGGGAGATCTTTTTATTTCTTGCTTATTTCCTTATTGGTCCAGTAGGTTTTTTACAGCATGTAGTTCAGTTTCCAAATGTTCCAGCATTTCCCAACTTTCTTTTGACAGTTAATTTCTACCTTCCTGACATGGAAATGTAGTCTGAAGAAATTCTTGGTCTGATTTCATTACTGTAACTTTATGGGTACTTGAATGTCCAGCATATGGTCCGTCGCAGAGAATGTTCCATGTACACCATAAAATATGCATTAGTGGGGCCAGAGAGATAATAATCGTGTGGGCTGCTTGCCTGCCAGGCAGCTGACCCGGGTTCAATCCCCAGCACCCCACATGGTTCCCTGAACACCGCCAGGAGTATTCTCTGAGTGCAGGGTCAGGAGTAAGCCTTGAGCACCACTGGGTGTGGCCCCCAAACAAACAAACAAACAAATTAGTTTAATACCTGATTTGCTAAGGATGATTGCTAAAGCTTGGTAAAGGCTGGAACCAAGGACACGCCTGGAAGACTGTGACAGCTGACAGCCCCTGGGGAAGGAATGGTGCAGGTACCTTGCAATGGGAAGGAGAGAGGCTGGCTCGGTGATCTGACTGCACTCATCCAGCACCACCACCGGGAACTTGAGGTCATTCAGGCACGGGAAGGGGCAGGCGGCACAGGTCACACCAACCACCCGGACCTTCGTGATGATGAGAAATTGTTAAATCATTATCAAGAAATAAGGAAACGTGTTTAGCAAAGCACTTAAAGGCTAAAACCAGAAAGTGAGCTTGTCCCAATTTAATTACCAGCAATCCGATGGGGACACTGGTGCTGGGAAATGGACACTGGTGGAGGAACGGGTGATGGAACACTTTATTACTGAAACCCAATCATGAACAGTTTTGGAAGGTCTAGTCACCGGGATTCAATGAAAAAAAAAAAATCACACAAAAAAGTAATAGTTACCAGCAACTGGAAATCATAGGTCACATGATGTGCACATTTTCACTATTCCACCATATTAAATAGAGATCATGGAAGAGATACTTAAGCCACCAGCCCTCCAGCAGACAATAATAAAAGGCACATTCTGGTTTTCAGAGGGAAGACGTTATAACCCCAAACATTTTTAAAATACCAAGGAAGACACACATATTTTATTCCTCTAGGATAAGGCGGAGTGAAAACAGCCTGTAATAATATGCCAATACAGGACAGTCTCCAGAAAGGATGAAGTCATGAAATTTACATACAAGTGGTACTACATGGAAAGTATCATGCTAAGTGAAATGAGTCAGAAAGAGAGGGATAGACACAGAAAGATTGCATTCATCTAGGGAACATAAAGTATGTTACTTTATTAGGAGACTAACACCCAAGAATAGCCGAGATAAATACCAGGAGATTTCCTCCATGGCTTGGAGGCCAGCTTCACACTCTAGGGGTAAAGGCAACCCAGATGTAGAAGGGAGCACCAAATGGGGGGTGTTGGGAGGATCCCCTCAGGATGGGAGAAGCATGCTGAGACTAGACTCTAAACCGAACATTTTGCCACTTGATGCCTCTTTTGCAGGCCACAGCACCCAAAAGGAGAGAGAGAACAAAAGGGAATGCCCTGCCACAGAGGCAAGGTGGAATGGGGGGATGAGGGGGGTGGGAGGGATACTGGGATTAGTGGTGGTAGAGAATGGGCACTGGTGGAGGGATGGGTACTCGATCATTGTACAATGGAAACCCAAGCACAAAAATTTGTAAGTCTACAACTGTACCTCATGGTGTTTCACTAATAATAAATAAATAAATGCAGTAAATGCAAACAAACAAACAAACAAACAAAAAAAACCCCACAGGACAGTCTCCCCACAGGGCACTGAGCATGTTGGTGACCTTAAACCCCTTCACCTTCGGCACACTATGTTTTCATTGATCTATGAAGGCGAAGATGCCAAGATTAACTCACTCTGAATGATCTAAATTAAAACTGACACGTGTTCTGAAGTATATTTGACTCACATAAAAATAGTCTTAAATAGCTGAGTAGAACACCACTATTCTCAAGGTGAAAACAAACTTGATAAAAGCTAAATATTTCATTCTTAGATCTAAATGTAAATGAGAGGAAAATGGATGAATTTTCTAGTCGGATGTGGTCACTGACTTAGCATTCAGCAACTACACATTCCACATTCACACAGATGTTATTATCACTGTGTGAGATACATAATTTTATATGTATATGTAACATACATACATACTTTTCCCCCTTCTAACAATGTGCAGTATAATGGCAGTTTAGTATAGAGACGGATTGATCGTATTTCTGGTCCAGAAGGTGGGCCTGGAAGCATTGGTGCTCTGGGAGAGCAGGCAAGGCAAACTGTGTGGGGCTTAGGTGCAGGCACGGCCCTGCTCTCCTAGGGTAAAACCTGCCTCACTCTCCTCAGGGAGAAGGAGAAAGGCTGAGTGCAGGGAACTGTGTCCTGAGGACACTGCGGGGGGAGTCACCTGTCTCAGCAGTGTCCTGTTGGTGCCCAGCTTGTGCTGCTCGATGCTCTTCCTCACGTACGCCTTCTCCACGGGGCTCAGGTCCTCCCGCAGCAGGGCCTGCAGCTCTTTCAGCTGCTCGCTTTCATTCTCTGAGCCTGCGTGCAAGCTAAAGAAATCCTTCTGTGAAAGAAGTCTCTCAAGTCTCTCTTTTTTTTGGTTTTTGTATTTCGGGGGGAGAGGGGTGGAGGGCCCACACCTGGCAGTGCTCTGGTCCGAGTCCGGGCTCTGCGCTCGGGAATCACTTCCCGGTGGTGCAAGACAAATGCCGTACCTGCTATATAATCACTCTGGCTCCATTCATCATTTAAAAAAATATTACAAAAAGCTCCAAGAGCTGGGAGGAACTCGCTGGTAGACTGCCATCCCTGCCTGTGTTCAGTCCCCAGCACTGCAAAGAGACAAAAACTTGATAATCAAAAAGTCCAATATGTTTTTGTCTGAGTTAACCAAGAGAAAGAGAAGGCTTTTCTCAACTTGTCTTTAAAAAATACTGGGGGGACTAAAGAGCTAGTACAGCAGGTAGGGCGCTTGCTTGCCTTTTACGTGGCTGACCTAGGCTCAATCCCCAGCACCCCATACGGTCCCCTGAGCACTGCCAAGAGTGATCCCTGAGTGCAGAGCCAGGAGTATCTCTTGAGCATCACTGGGTGTGGCCCCCAGACAAACAAAACAAAATACTGGGCACCTTGACTATAACAACACTAATTGCTTAAATAAATAAAATAAATACAATCTAAATGTAAGGTAAGAATCAGATAAAATTCTTTTGTGAACATTTTGTGCATTCAGAATTTAGTATTCCTGGGCTGGAGAGACAGTACAGTGGGTAAGGCCCTGCATACAGCCAATCCAGGTTTAATCCCGACATCCCATATGGTCCTCTATGCACTGTCAGGAGTGACCCCTGAGTACAGAGCCAGGTATAACGCCCGAGCATCGCTGGGTGTGGCCCCCCAAACAAATAAACAAAAACCCAATAATTTAGTGTTCTTACCTGTAAGGTAAAATTGGCTTGGCAATCTTCCTAATACTGCCAACTCTGACAAACTTTTCAAATCCCAGACTGAGAAGCCTTTAAGGGGAGGTAAAATAAATTCTCGTTATTGATAAAATGGGAGATAAGAGAGTCTCATGTGACTAAAGTTAATTTTGTGTAACAGGACTATATTGTACATGTAGAATTCCATGTTAAGTGCCTATATGTTCCTTGGCTAATCCTGTGCTAACCTTGTCAGGTTTGGCATTTGTTTTTTTCTCCTGCTTACAAGTCAGTCTGGTACTGGGGCTGGAGCAATGGTACAGCGGGGAGGGCATTTACTTTGCACGTGGCAGACCTGGGTTTGATTCCTGGCACCCCATGTGGTCCCCCAACACTGCCAGGAGTACTTCCTAAGAGCAAAGCCAGGAAAAAGTAATCCTATTTTAATAACTGAGCATTACTGAGTGTGACCCAAAAGAAAAAACAAAACGAAATTAAAAAAACCCAAGTCAGGCTGGTACTATTTTATAGTTGCTGGTGCTTGAGTTAGGAGAACAAGAGCCTTATAGTTCTCGCATGCCCTGCAAGAACAATATAAACACACAAGGGGAACTGTGTCTCAGAGTATTTAGTAACTGAAAGCATTCCCAAGTTCATCACACCTACCCAAGGAGTACTCTGTCCACAGCTACATTGGTGGAAGAGGAAATGAGCACTTTCCACGGCCGAGCGTTTCCAAGGGGGGCAGCCTCGCTCTGCTCAAACAGCTGCACAAAGAACAAAACCACCAGTGCCAGCAAGTAACTCTTTCCTGCTCCAAAAACACCTGATCAGATCGGGGGAGGGAGAAAAATAAAGGCGCCATATAAATTCTGCAATTGCCAGACACACTTCACCTGTCCCTCGTGCCCATCCCCCCTCCCAGGGAATCCACACAGTGAGCACTGCGCGCACACGTGGTGCCCAGCACACCCAACACTGGAGGCCTCGACGCCAACAGACCGTGGCCACTTGGAACGAGGAGGGAAGGGAGAACAACAAGTGGCCGGAATGGACAGAAACAAGGAGAGGGAAGCGCAGAGCTTTCCGCCCTGGGAGAGCCAGGCCGTCTCCTAAAAGCAAGCAGGAGCAGAGCTCAGTGTCCAGAGCAAGCTGTCCCAGAGGGCTGAGGCCAGGAGGGATGCGCGTACTGTATGGGGGTGGGGGGGGGGCCCTCCTGCCAGCCGGAAGTCGCCTCTGTCCAGAACAGGCAGCTGTTAAGTGCTCCACAGGCAATGGCACAAAGCACAAGAAGTGTGCACCCCGTGGCTCTGTGTCAGTGTTGGCTCACGGGCCAGAGGAAGTCAGAAAAGGATGCTAAGCAGTGGAACTGACTGGATCTGCTTGCTCAGAGAAAATGACTCCAGAAGGGAGTATGGTGGGTGCAGAGCTTGCCTTGCTCCCTGACATTGCCCATGGCCCCTGGAGCCCCATCAGGAGGGAACCCCGAGAAAGCCCTGAGCACCAGCCTCACCCTCCAAAACCAAAACCAAACACCAATTAGGTGACAAGACGGAGAGAAGCAAAACTAGAGGAGGATCAGTGATAAAGTGTGGGGTCAGCATCATACTATATGCTTACTTTACTGAGTGCCAGCCCTGCTGGTGCCACCAAGTGCCACCAAGCCAGGTATCTTGCTGGGCCTTGACAAATGCAGTGTATTCATGGACTGCTACAGCCTCTGAGAGCCAGGCTGTTTGCAGCCACCCTGCAGCGCATGGTCTCGCCTAGAGGTTGCACAGAGACACAAGGCAAGCATGGACCGGGGGAGCCGGAAGCGTGAAGGGGAACAGAAGGCGCGGCTGAGTGACAGGCTGACGGAGACCAACTCTGAGTGAGAGGGAAGATGAGGAAGCCTGAGACCTCATGGACGGGGAAAGAAGAGGCATCCAGCTGGGCCAGCAGGGGTGCGGTGTATACCCCAAAACAGGACTGAAAGTCAGAGCAGCTTCTGGGTGGAGGTCTGCGGGAGAGAGTGCGCTACAGAGGCAGTGAACACAGCCAGGTGCTCTGATGGCGGAGGGGCGGGGGAGGGTGTGGGAGGGCGGGGGGGTGGGGAGGGCTGGGTGCTGCAGTTCCTCTTAGGAACTCAGTTTCAGATGCAGAGGGGGCAAGGGCGAGCGATGAGCAGGCAGGAGGGTGGGAGCGATTAACCGCAGGTTCTCCTGGGCCCAGCTGAAGCCCACGCTGAGTGCCTCATGCAGGCACCCAACTGATACCCGAGACCCTCAGAGTGAGAGCAGGATGGACTTGGTCACCAGATGCACAGCTCGGCTCCGCCTTAGTGGCGGGTCACTTCTGATCTTTTACTTGGTGTTACTCCGGAATCTGATGTAAGGAGGGATTCTGAGGAGTCAACGGTGTGCTGGGAGCCGGCCGTACCGTGCTGGCCTCTGTTCTTGCGCTCACTCCTTACCATGGATGATGGTGATGGGACAGGCAGGGCGGTCTGGGGCTGTGTTGTCCAGGACAGGCTGTGGCGCCATCATCCGCGCTATCTGGTTCAGAGCTGCAGCCTGGTCCTGGTTTAACCGGTGGGCCTGAGCTAATTCGCTGGCTAAGCGCAGTGCGGCTTCTAGGCTGGGCAGCTCAGGTGGTGGCCTGACGCTCGAGAAGGCTGGAGGGGTGAATTTTCTCCTGCTGACTGGTTTGTTGGTAGCTGGAGTTGATGGAGACCTAGCAGAGAGGCAGGGGGAAAAAAAATCAAAGGAAGCACTGAGGACTTTTTCAAATAAGTGAGACTTATTTTTAACTGAACCTTTACTTATAAGCCTCTTGGGGGAGTTGCAGTGGGCACAAACAAATATATGCCCCTATTTTCAGGGTAGAAAGAATAAGGGACTCGAGAGATGGTACAGCAGGGAAGGTGACTGCCTTGCATGCAACCAACCCAGGTTTAATCCCCAGCACCCCATACGGTCCCCTGAGCTCTCCTAGCAGTGACCCCTGAACTCAGAGCCAGAAGTAAGCCCTGAGCACTGCTGAGTACATCTCCCAAACAAAAAAAGCAAAAAAGAAACTAGATCTTTTCTATCATGTTAATGTACTTAATAATATTGTTTCCCGTTTTTAAAATAAAGTTGAAAATTTTACATTTACTAATGTAAATTTAAAATAGAGATGAGAATGGGGCTGGAGAGAGAATTCAGTGGGTAAGGCGCCTGCCTTGCATGACCGGAGTTCAATCCCCAGCACCGCATATGATCCCTGAACACAGAGTGAAGACTGAGCCCTGAGCATCTCTGGATGCAGCTCCTGACCCCTCCACCAAAAAAAAAAAAAAAAAAAAAAAAAAAAAAAAAAAAATTCTAACGCTGGGAATTTGGCTTAAAGGATGGAACCGAGAAAGATATCTCAGTGGGACGAGCTCTGACCTGAAATGTCGAAGGCCTGTCTTCCATGCCCTGGGCCACATCTGATCCTCTGAGCATTGCCAGGTGTGGCCTAAAACATAACTACAAAAACACCCGGGTTTCCCTGTAAGGATACCCATGACATTCTTCAAAGAAATGGAGCAAACACTCCTGAAATTTATATGGAACAATAAGCCCCCACGAATAGCTAAAGCAATTCTTGGGAAAAAGAAAATGGGAGGAATCAACCTCCCTAACTTCAAAATCTACTATAAAGCAGTAATAATTAAAACAGCATGGTACTGGAACAAAGGTAGAGCTGTAGACCAATGGAACAGAGCTGAATATACTGACATCTCTCCCCAAGCATATGATCATCTAATCTTCGATAAGGGGGCAAGAGAAGTGAAGTGGAGCAGGGAAACCCTCTTTAACAAATTGTGCTGTCAAAACTGGACAGCTACATGCAAAAAAGTGGGCTCAGATCTCTGCCTAACGCCATGTACAAAAGTAAGATCAAAATGAATTAATGACTTCAACATCAGACCAGAATCCATAAAGTTCACTGAAGACAAAGTTGGCAAAACCCTCCATGATATTGAAGCTAATGGTATCTTCAAAGATGACACGCCACTGGCCAAGCAAGTGAAAACAGAGATAGACAAATGGGACTATCTTAAACTAAGAAGCTTCTGCACCTCAAAAGAAACAGTGACCAAAATACAAAGACAGTCTACAGAATGGGAAAGGATATTCGCCGAGTACACATCCGACAAGGGGTTGATATCAAGGATATACAAGGTACTGGTTGAACTCCACAAGAAGAAAACACCCAACCCCATCAAAAAATGGGGTGAGGAAATGAACAGAAACTTTCGCAAAGAAGAAATCCGAATCGCTAAAAGGCACATGAGAAAATGCTCTACATCATTAATCATCAGGGAGATGCATATCAAAACAACAATGAGATATCATTTCACACCACAGAGACTGGCCCACATCCAAAAGAACAAAAGCAACCGGTGCTGGCGTGGATGTGGCAAGAAAGGGACCCTCCTTCACTGCTGGTGGGAATGCCGACTGGTCCAACCCTTTTGGAAAACAGTATGGACGATTCTCAAAAAATTAGAATTTGAGCTCCCATTTGACCCAGCAATACCACTCCTGGGAATATATCCCAGAGAGGCAAAAAGTATAGTCGAAGTGACATCTGCACTTGTTTGTTCATTGCAGCACTCTTTACAGTAGCCAGAAACTGGAAAAAACCTGAGTGCCCGAGAACAGATGACTGGTTAAAGAAACTTTGGTACATTTACACAATGGAGTACTATGTAGCTGTTAGAAAAGATGAAGTCATGAAATTAACATACAAGTGGTACTATGTGGAAAGTATCATGTAAGCGAAATGAATCAGAAAGAGCGGGATAGACATAGAAAAATTGCATTCATCTGGGGAACATAAAATAACAAAATGGGAGACTAACACCCAGGAGTGGCCGAGATTAGTACCAGGAATTTTGCTCTGTGACTTGGAGGCCAGCCACACATGCTAGGGAAAAAGGAAGCTCAGATAGAGAAAGGAGCACCAAATAAAGGGTGCTGGGAGGATCCTCCCAGGATGGGAGAAGCATGCTGAAAGTAGACTATAGACCAAAAATGATTGCCACTCAATGCCTCTCTTGCAAACCATAGGACCCAAAAGGAGAGAGAGAGAACAAAAGGGAATGCCCTGCCACAGAGGCAGGGTGGGATGGGGGAGTGGGAGGGATGCTGGGACTTGATCATTGTATAACTGAAACCCAAGCACAAAAATTTGTAAGTCATGGAGTACCTTACATCTGTACCTCATGGTGTTTAACTAATTAAAAAAAAAAAAAGAAAACACCCGGGTTTGATCCCAGGCATTGATCCCCAAGCCAAGAATAACCTCCTGGAACCTCCAGGTGTGGTCAAAACACACATACACATACACACACACACACACACGCACAATTTCTTAACAACAGGGAAAAACCATAGTGCTATTTATGAGAAAACTGTATGAGTTCCAACTATGATAGATGGAAAGATGAATGGAGGATGGACAGATGGAAAAGGAAGAATATTTCCCTTTCTCAAATTTTACTTCTAACCACTGAAAGTAATTTCAATCTGAAAAACCATTAAACTTTTACTGGAAACATTTTTGTAATGTAGTTTTATTATATTTTCATGATTATATTTAACTCCAAAATTTTTTGTTTGTTTGTTTGGGGGCCATACCTGGCAGTGCTCACCCAGCACAGTGCTCATGGGACCATGTGGCAGCAGAGATCAAACCCAGGCCTCCAGCCCTTAGACCTTAGTGCTCTGCTGACAGTGCTCTAAGCTACTTTCCCAGCCCCAGTCTCTGTTTATGAAAGTCAGGGAACCAAAAGTAATTGATGACTCACATTGTTAGCAGGCCCTGTGTGAGAGGCAGCGTGGCTGGATTGAAGTGGTCTTGAATATTTTTCAAAGTGGTCAGCTCTGTGCTGGCATTACAGACCAGCAACGCATGTACCACGGCTGGAGAGAGAACACTGAGAGTGAACCTTTAATGTACACGAAACAAACCAGGAAGAAACACAGTAAATACCCCTTCTGCTTAGAGTTCAGCTCGTGAATTAATCACAAGCCATAACCTAAACCCTTATGTGTGTGCTGAGGTCCCGTGAGCCGTTAAACCAGAAGCTCTCTACTCATTCACCTTTCCATGTGGGTCCCCTAAAGCGCGGGGTCAGTTCAGACTCCACACACCAGCGCATGGGCAAGTCAGGGCTCTGAGGCATGATGCACAGCACTAACGCTCGCCGGCATTGCCCCCTCAGCTACAAAACACAGGAAACGCGGGCAAAGGAACAACTCAGCAAGGTAGGAGGGGATAACGGGAAGGAGTCTTGCCAACCAGGCCTGCTGCCCATTTGGGTGCTGGTGCCAGGGGCTCCTCCCAGCCCTGTTAAGGGTGATTCCCGAAAAGTGCTCGGGGCCTGTGCAGGGCCAGGCACTGAATTTCCTGCATGCACAGTGTGCGCTCACCATGGAGCTGGCTCTAGGCCTTGTCATCCTTTTCCAATAGAAACTAAGGTGCGTGAGGGGCCAAAGTGATATATAGTGGGGACGGTATCTTTGCCTTGCACACAAACAAGTTGGGTTAGATCCCCAGCACCTTGTATGGTCTCCTGAGCCCCGCCAAAAGGGATTCCTGAGCACAGAGCCAGGAGTAACCCCGGAGCATAGCTGGGTATGGCCCCAAAACAAAGAAAAAGGTAAGAGATGGAGGTCAGAGACAGACAGTAGCAGAGTCAGGGCACAGGCCCCCCTGGTTTCAACCTCTGGCACCCATACGGTCCTCTAAGCCCGCAAAGACTGATCCCCAGTGCAGAACCAGGAGTAAGTGCCGAGCATTCTTGGGTGGGGCCTCCCACCCAAAATAAGTTAAGATGGGTACAGTAATACTTACTTAAAGGAAATATACTTACTGTTAGAGGGCCAGTTGGAAGGGAAATAACCTTTCAAGGGCAGCAGCTCCACTTCACTGACAGACGATGGCCCAAAGAAAGCGCTGCATGCAATAAAAGTATCCAACTCAAAGTCCAGGGTTTTTGAAACCACCCAAAGATCATCTGAAAAGATAAGATTTTATTTGTTTGTTTGTATGGGGGGTATACCCGGCAGTGCTCAGTGGTTACTCCTGGCTCTGTGCTCAGGGATCACTCCTGGTGAGCTCAGAGGGCCATATGGGGTGCTGGGGATGGAACCAGGGTTGGCCGCAGGCTCTATGCTGGTACTATCTCTCCAGCCCCCTAGAAATGACAATAGTATGATTATAACTCAAACATGAAACTTTTATAACTGTATCTCACAGTGATTCAATTAAAAAAAAATTTCCCTGGGGCTGGAGTGATAGGATAGAGGGGAGGGTGTTTGCCTTGCACACAGCTGACCTAGGATTGATCCTTGGCATCCCATATGGTCCCCCAAGCACCACCAGGAATAATTCCCAACTGCAGAGCCAGGAGTAACTCCTGAGCTTTGCCAGATGTAACCCCAAAAGCCAAAAATAAATAAATAAATAAATAAAATAACAACGTTTTCCCAAGGCCCGGACACATAGTAGAGCAGACAGGGTGCCTGCCTTACCTATGCCTGACTGGGTTTGATCCCGGCTCCCCACATGGTCCCCCGAGACCTGCCAGTCATTCTATGTCTGTCCCTCTCTCTCTGACTCATTTCACTTAGCATGATACTCTCCACGTTGATCCACTATTTAAAAAAAAAAAAAAATGGAGCGGAAAGAGCTCAGAGGGCTGGGTCATGTGCCCACATGCACAGGCCGCTGGGTTTGATCCTGAAACCATAGGGCCTCAGGAAGTCCCAGACAGACTGAAGGAATTTAAAGAGTTTCTGCAAGGTGGGGAGCCGTGGGTGGGTGACAAGGCTTAGATGCGATCATGCTGTCATCAGACGAGACCCTCTCACCTTTGCTGTAAGTTGAAGAACTTTCCTTCCGACTCAACTTAAGATAAAGTTTGCTTTTAGGCTCATTATTACAAAATTCAGAATTCACAGGAGCAAACTTTTTCAGTTTGCCATACTGTTTTCTTTGAAAATCAAATCCTTTTCTGCAAAATAAATAAAAAACAAAAAGTGATTTTGCATATAAGGCAAATATTTTTAGCTGAGCCATGACTTACATGCAATATACTAGTCTCATGACACTACCATGTTGGGATATGACACAAATCCCCACTACTAGGCAAGTCTTGTAACAGCCATCACCACAATTACAAACTTTTTTTTGGCTCATGAAGAGAACTTTTAAGACCTCTCCTCTGACTTTCAAATTTATAGTAAAACTGATTAGTCACATACTAAAGTAATTGGGACCATTTGTGCATCTCATTTGTTCATGCACAAATATTAACACAAAATGGATTAAAGACCTCAATATTAAACCTAAATCTATAAAACTCACCGAAGAAAACAGAGGCAGAACTCTTCATGATACTGATTTCAAAAGCATCTTCAATGACTAAAAAACCTACCCAGTGAGTGGGGAAAGAAATACTCACTCACCACACTTCTGGCAAAAAGATATATTCACAATTTATACAGCACTGGCAAAACTTAAGACAAACAAACAAACAAACAATAAAGGCTAATCACACCATCCAAAGATTGGGGAGAGAAGAAGAGTAAATACTTCTTCAAGACATACAGGCGTATGGCCAATAGATTTATGAAAAAGTATTCTTTGTCACTGATTATCAGGGAATTGCAAATCAAAATGACAATGAGATGCCATCTCACAAGAGTAGGAATACCAAATATGTCAAAGGACAAACATATCTGCGTTGGTGGGGATGTAGGAAAAAAGGAATCCTTATACACTGTGGGTGGGAACTTCGTAGGGTCCAACCACTGTGGAAAACAGTATGGATACAACTGAAAAAATGAAGAATGGGGGCCGGAGAGATAGTACAGCAGGGAGGGTGTTTGCCTTGCATGAAGCCAACTTGGGTTCGATTCCCAGCATCCCATATGGTCCCCTCGAGCACCACCAGGAGTGATTCCCAAGTGCAGAGCCAGGAGTAATCCTGGAGCATTGCTGAGTATGACCCAAAAAGCCAAAAAAAAAAAAAAAAAAAAGAACAGAGTTTCCATATGACCCAGCAATTCCATTTCTCAGCACCTACCCCCTTACATGCAAACATTCTTTTGAGGGGCTGGAGAAATAGTACATCGATCGGGTTGGGTGCTTGCCTTGCATGCTGCCAACTAGGTTTGATCCCTGGCATTCAATATGACTCTGTTAGGAGTAATTCCTGAGTGCAGAGCCAGGAGTAACCCCTGAGCATTGCTGGGTGTGACCCAACACAAAAAAGGAAACTGAAACATTCATTTGAAAAGATACATACACTCCTATGTTCAATGCAACAATATTCACACTAGCCAAGATATTGGAGCCAGAGCGATAGTACAGTTGGTAAGGTGCTTGCCTTACACAAGGCCCCTGGTTCAATCCCTGGAGCTCAATGTGGTTCTCTGAGCCCCACCTATCCTGTTTTTAGCATAGAGCTAGAAGTAAGCTCTGAGCACCACTGGGCCAAAAACCAAAAAAATAAACCAAAAAACAACAACAAAAAAATATTCAGAGTATATGTATCCTTTGATACATGCAAACAAAATAGAATACTGTGACAAGAGGGAAAACAGAAACTCAACTCACAAAATTAACATGAATCTTAAAAGAGATAAAATATATATATATATATATATATCGAGGTGCTGGAAGCTGGTTCAGGGGTTAGTGTGCGCCTGGCCTGGGGTCAGCCCCTGGTACCACAAGCCTCCAACCATCTCTGGGATGGCCTCGAGGCCTGAGCCCCACTGCGTGGGAGGTCCTGGTGGTCCCTGACCTGAGCATGTCCAGGTCCTTGGGTTCTACCACTGCCCAGTGGCCAGATATCAAGGGCAGTAGCCCCCATATACCCTGAAAACAATTTGGGCATCCACCCCTTCCCACAAGAAAATACCTTAGAAATACTGAGTATCTCTGTTTATATAACTTTCAAAGGGGAATAACAAATAACGCCCTATATCTCTCTACTTTCTAGGTCATTGTATGATTCAAATAATACATGGGATCACTAGGAGTGCCTGGCATATAGAAGCATGTGTGCATGCATGCATACACACACACACACACACACACACACACACACACACACACACACACACACACACACAATTTCTCAAGTATTATCAGCAAATTACTATGCAGATGGTCATTATGTTTACCTCTTGGATAATCCTACTTTTATAAGATGTTTCACCAAAAGTAGCATTCTCTTCTTTTAGGGAGGGGGTGGGCTACACTGGGCAGCCTGCAGAGCTCACGCTTGGGGATGCTGCACTGAAGGGGACAGGCCCTAGGACACCCCTCTCCCCAGCCCCAGGCAGAGCCTGCATGCACCCTTTCACCTGTCTCTCTGGGCCTCTGCTGGTTTTGCTTCGGGCCACACTGGGCTGTGCTCAGGGCCTACTCCTGGTTTTGCAGTCGAGGAACACTCCTGGCAGGACTTGGATCAAATAGCGGTAGGCTGCATGCAAAGCAAGCACCTGGCCCCCTGTGCTCTCTCCCTGGCCCTCTGTTGTTTTTTTTTTTAAACTATATGCTTCAGGCTCATGAAAGTCCTTACCTATCTGATAAAAATGACCAGAATTTTATCTGCACTGATAAAAATCTCATGGTTTGTTGGATTCCCCTGAGGATTGTGGCAGATGTATTAAACTAGTTAGAACTGTAGGGTAGGCTCAAGGGGCCAGGCTATATGCTTGGCAATGCATGAGTTCCCAAGTTTGATCCCTAAATGCTGCAGGCGCCCCTGATAACCACCAGGCTCAAACACTGAGCCCAATAAATAAGTCATGTGGTTAGAAGAGTGGTATTCTAGGGTCGGGGCGAAGGCTCTGTAGTGGAGGACAAGCCTCACATGGGTGAGGTCTTGGGTTTGACCCCAAGCATGACAAAGAGATCATTCCTGCAGTGAGTGTGGTATTACTGATGCTGACAGAAGGCCCCAGAAATATCTGGGGGGCTTATTCCTGTTTGGCTGTTCCCCCTTAGGCACAGAGACGAAGGTAGCACTGTAGCACTGTCCTCCCGTTGTTCATTGATTTGCTCGAGCGGGCACCAGTAAAGTCTCCATTGCGAGACTTGTTACTGTTTTTGGCATATCGAATATGTCACGGAGACCTTGCCAAGCTATACTGTGCAGGTGAGATACTCTCGGTAGCTTGCCGGGCTCTCTGAGAGAGGTGGAGAAATCGAACCCAGGTCGGCCGCGGGCAAGGTAAATGCCCTACCCGCTGTGCTATCACTCCATCCAGAGACGAAGGTACCCTGTCTTTCCAATGCCTCTCCCATCTCAAACACCTGTAAAACTGTGAGCTGTCAGCGTCACTGTCTTTTAAAGTAACTAGAGGCCATTATTTGGTCAACCTAAAGCACACCTCACTGGGGCTGGAGTGACAGTACAGAGGGGAGGGCATTTGCCTTGCATGCGGCCCACCCAGGTTCGATTCCCAGCACCGCATATAGTCCTCTGAGCCCTCCAAGAGTAATTTCTGAGTACAGGGTCAGGAGTAATCTCTGAGTGCCGTCAAGAGTGGCTCCCCAAACCAAAAACTAGATAAATTAAAAAAATAAAACACACCTCACTAAGGGAGCTGGAGTGATCGTACAGTGGGCAGGGCATTCATCTTGCACAAGGCTGACCTGGGTTAGATCCCCAGCATATGGTCCCTGGAGCTCACTAACAGGAATCCCTGAGCACTGCTGAATATGGCCCAAGAACAAAAAAGAAACCACAAAACACCACACCTCACTAAAAGCTGGCATTCCTCATACACAGGGATCTTTTGGCTTCTCAAGTACAAGCCGATGCTCTTTATATCACTTAGAACCTTGACGGGTGGGGATTCTCCCGCCACTAAGTTTCCTGGAGTTACTGCTTCAAACCACTTGAAAAATTTACACTGGTCAGCTTTGGGTCCATCACAGGCATAAAAGAGACGGCCCTAATGGGAGAAAAGAAAGATATTAAACTGGTACAGAAGGCAATGTTTTTATCTATTCATGCTGTTTGTCGAGACTTTAACAAACGCTGCTTGCATTAAAATACACCAGTACACTAGTTATTCTACAGAGTTAGAGACAGTACTTTGTGGCAGGGCGGGGGGTCGGGGGGGGGGGAGGAAAGAAAGGAAGAACAGTACCTTGTTAGGACCGTCCTTTTTCACCATGACAAGCTTCGCAGGTTGCTGATGGTAGCAGGATGGTACACTCTTTCCCATGCTTTTTGGTTCTTCTCCTTTTGGCGATGTGTAAAACGAAATGTCCACTTTTGCGAGGGCTCTGTGCAGCCTTTGGGCCAATCCAAACAGCATTATATTTAGATGTTCTACCAAAAAGTACATAAAAGATAGTACGAATGAAAATGAAATACAAAGTAGTTTGTGTCTGTATTGCATCTGCTGTTTGTTAGCTGAGTTAGTTCTTTTTAACAGCGAGCTAAAAGCCTTGTACTAAAATCCATTTTCTTGTTTGTTTTGGGGCCACATCTGGCAATGATCAGGGGTTACTCCTGGCTCTGTGCTCAGAAATTGCTCTTGCCAGTGCTTAGGGAAACTTATGAGATGCCAGGATCAAACCTGAGCTGGCTGCATGCCAGGGCCAGAAAGCTAGCCCAGAAGGTGAGGCACTTGCCCTATATGTGGCCATGTGGAGAGAACCCAGGCTCAAATTTCTGACAGTGTGTATAATCTGAGCACTGCTAAGGCTCACTCCTGAGCACAGAGCCAGCAGAGTATGCACCCCCACCCCTGCCGCAAACACCCTGATTTAATTACATTTTAATCATGATAGCACAGCGGTAGGGCATTCGCCTTGCACACAGCCAACATGGCCGACCCGAGTTCGATTCCTCCGCCCCTCTCGGAGAGCCCGGCAAGCTACCGAGAGTATCTCGCCCGCACGGCAGAGCCTGGCAAGCTCCCCGTGGCGTATTCGATATGCCAGACACAGTAACAACAAAGTCTCCAATAGAAACGTTACTGGGCCCGCTCGAGCAAATCGATGAACAACGGGAGGACAGTGACAGTGAATCATGCAATCATGCATCATACTTACAATTTTCTACTTAATAAAATTAACAAATGTTTACATCACCTTATTTAAAATGTTAAAAACTATAAATTCAACTGGAGCAACAGTACAGAGTTTAAGATGCTTGCCTTACACATGGCCAGCCCTAGTTCAATCCCCAGCACCCCACATGGTTTCCCCAGCACACTTTGTTTTTATTTTAACTTTTTTATCGAATCACTGAGATCGATCCATACAAAGCTGCTCATGATTGGATTTCAGAGAGTATTCCAACACCCATCCCTCCCCCAGTGTCCCCAGGTTCCCTCCCATCAACCCCTACCCGCTACCTGCCTCTTTGGCAGGCGCTTTTCTCCCTCTCCCTCTCTTTTTCTCTCTCCCACCTCTGTCTCTCTCCCTCCCTTTCTTTTCCCCCCACAAACTGTGGGGCATTGTGCTTTGCAACACTGATATTGAAAGGTTATCAAGAATATCTCTTTACCTACCTTATTTTTAGTTTTACCTACTTTTAATACTCAGTTCTTATCCAGCAACTCCCAACAACATTTTGAAAGTGTGCTTGGTCTCTCTTTGAGAGATCCGCAAAGTCAAAATAAAAAGCTATATGTATATAGTTGCTTCTCACTTATAAAACTAGATTTTTGACATGAAATAAGAATAAAGCTAGTGGTTTTCAAACTGGGTTAAGGGGCCAGCTTGGAGAGAGTACAGGGACGTGGCTTGCATGCTAGCTGAGCCCAGCTTGAATCCCTGGCACCACAAATAGTCTCTGAGCAGAATCAGGAATAGCCTCTGAGCACTGCTAGGTGTGAGAAACAAGCAGAAAAAGAAAAACCTTAAAAAAACAGGAGTAAACATAACAGGTATCAAGTAGGGAATTCAATATGAACGTTCACAAAATGGTGATATACTTTCTCACAGTGATACACAACTTGTATTAAACCACAGTCAATCAAAATGAAATAAAAAGATAATACTCATACCTATGAGACACGATGTAAAAATCTGTTTATACTGTGCAGGAGACTGAAAGACAGCTGGTATGTGAACATGCCTTTGGGGAAGATAAGCAGATTTTGTTTTCTGGCCACTTGGGAAGCATAGCTCAGAGCAATTTACCTCCTGAAATGAAATAATTCAGGTTATTCTAACTACTTCCAAAATTCTTTTTACTAAAGAGCAAATACTTTCTATTGATTTAAGAAAATAAACATATTCTGTTTTTCAAAGCCCTTCAAAATCATTTTCGAATTATAAGTGAGAACCTAAGTAGAGCAAGAATGGTTCTCCTTGGCACTTTTAGCTATAAACAAAACTACCTTTTCCTTGATACGCTTTCAGATCTTTTAAATTTTTTAGGGAAAATTTAACTGATGTGAATGGATCATTATATATTAATACTCGTAGATAGAACTGTTTTGAGAATTGTTGCAGGCTGGGGGTTCCACTCTGCAAAGTACTTGCCTTCTAAGCGTAAGGCCCTGTGCTTAGTCTCCAGCACTCAAAAAAAAAAATCCCCCCAAATTCAACAAATTGTTGCAGTGAACATAAATTATGATAGACCTGACAATGATCTGATCAGCAGAACAGAGGGGACAGTGACAAGGATCCTGGTAAAGGTTGTGGTGGAACAAAAGAAAGTGATCGCCCAAGTGTCTCTATCTGCCGGATACTCAAATACTGGACTTTCAAAGACTTGATTTCACTTATGGCTCCAAGCACAAGGCAAGATCTTTTTTGGTGGGAGGAGATGGGGAGCTACAATCGGCTGTGCTCAGGGATCACTGGGCTCGGGGACCAGATGGTAGGCTGGGGATGGACACCAGGGCCAGCCACACGCAAGGCAAATGCTCTACATGCTCTACCATTGCTCTGGCCTCAATCAGGAAAGATTTTAAGTCGAAGAAGATGGGACCGAAGCTATCATTCTAGAGAAGTTACAGTTAAAAGTCATTAGCTCTCAGAGCAGACCCAGTTTCAATATAATTTCTCTCCTTCTATTGAAATCCAGACAGTGAAAAGCCTGCACTGGGACACGAGGCGGCCCGGCCTACCCCGAGCACGCCCTCCCGGGCTGTGAACTCACAGGGAATGCTTTGCCTCCGGACCCCGGGTCCTGGCTGCGGTAAGCCTGCTGCTGGGGCCCGAGCATGTCCTTGATCCTCTGCAGGTGCTCAGAGTCTACGGGGCTGGCATGCAGGGCGTCCTGCTGCCTGGGCCCCGGGCCCCCGACGAGCACAGTATGGGCGCTACCAGCCGCATCATGCTCAGTGCCGCGCTGGGTGAGGTTCTGATATTTCAGCCACTTGCTTGCAGCAGCTTCTTTGTGGTGGCGTCGTGACGCGGCCTCCGGACTCGTGGCTCGGGATGCTCGAGGGAAACCCGTTTCCCGTCTCCCAAAGCCTGACGCCGGAAGTACAGAGTCTTCTTGCAGGGTGAGCAGCGGAAACCTGGGAGCCTCCCGGCTGTCCCAGTGCATGGAGTTTGGCTGGAGAGCAAAGCCGGGTGGGTCAGCAGCAGCAGGCAAGGCGGTCAGCGGAGCTCGGGTTCCACTGACTAATGGAAGCTCTGCAAGGTTCTCGTTCTCCAAAAAACTAGACCTTTCCATTACTGGAAGGGGAAAAAAGCCAATGAAATAAAATTGCATTGTCTGTCTGCACCAGACTCTAGTATAAACAATATCTAAACTAAAAAAAGAAGAAGTATGAACTTGCACTTGCCTGGCTCCCTCTTCAAAACACAACGTGTATCATTTTATTTCCTTTGTTAAAATGTGTAATGGTTTTGGGCCCAGAAGTGGCTCAAAGGCTGAAGACATGCTCTGCACGCAGGGTTCCCAGGTTTGAACCCAGCGTCCCACACTGGCTGAGCACCAGCCGAGCACTGAGCCAGGACCAGGCCCTGAGCACTGCTGGACATGGCCCAGAAGGACAAATAATAATAATTTTGTTTGTTTTTTGGGCCACACTCAGTGGCACTCAGAGTTTACTTCTCACTCTGCACTCAAGGACCACTCCCGGGGGCAACTGAAACCTCATGGGAAGTGGGGCGTTCCCGGCTCGTCCTTCACGCCCTACCGAGGTCACAAGTTGCCCCCAACGAGCGGCTCTCTGGCACGGCCATGGCTCTAGAGCCACAGAGACCAATCTTATAATTCACTGACTCTCGGCAGAAATACTTCCTGGCTTAATAAGTAAAATATAAGAAATCCAAAATCGTGTGGCCGCAATACACCATTTGCTTCTTGTAACTAGCTGTAGAAAACAAATTATTTCACAATGCCTTTTCAGCAGGTCTGATTTTGGGGTGTAAACTCTAAATAATAGTGGTGCATCTTTTGTCGAAACAATGAATCTAATCAAAATAGATAGTGTTAACTAGAATTCATCTGCCTCACAGGCATTGGGAGGGTTGGGAGGGGGGGTATATTGGGGTTCTTGGTGGTGAAAAATAAGTACTAGTGAAGGGAAATGTGTTTGATGATTGCATGACCAAGACTTAAACCTTAAAACTCTGTAACTTCTCCCACAGTGATTCAATAAAAAAAAAAAAAAAAAGGACCACTCCCAGCAGGGCTTGGGACTATATATGATGCTAAGGATCAAATCCAGGTCAGCTGCGTGCAAAGCAGCATAAATATGGTAGAATTTCTGTTTTGTTGGAAATAAGCTTGGAGAGCTCCTGGGAAATGGTACAGTGGGAAGTGAGTAGATAAATATTTGAAAAAGCAGTAGGTTGTATTGCTAGCACTCTATGTTTTTGCATGCGGGAGCCCCAGGTTTGATCCCTGGCCCCAGGTGGGCCCCCAGCCCTGCCATGAGTTGCTCCTGAGCTTTTCCATGTGTGGCTCAAAGCCCCGCCACCCCGCACCAAATATATAGAACAATCAAGCGCTGACAGGAAAATGCAAACTTCATAGAATAAAATTCCTGACATAACTGGAACCATCCATCCTCTCCTTGTTACACTGGTTTCTGAAAACCACTGACTGCTTTTACACTCACTTCTCTCTACCAGCACAACCAGTAAGCCTTGTCCAAGCCCAGCCAGTGCAGACCACATTACAGTTATTTCTTTTATTTGTCTTTGTTTGAGGGCCACACCTGTTTGTGCTCAGGGCTTACTCCTGTTTCAGGGTTGACTCCTGGAAGTGCTCAGGGGACCCCATAAGGATAGTGGTGCTGGGGATTAAAACCTGGTCAGCCACATGCACGGCAAGTAAGCGCTTGACCAGCTATAGTATCTTTCCTGGCCAAAGTTTTTTCCTTTAATCTGTCTATGGCCACAAAACTTACCTATAGCTTCATCTCTCACCCAATGTAACTTCAGAATCAAGGGGAGATACATTGATAAGAGAAATTAGTGAAGGGATACTATTAAAAACATATTAAACTGATGAACAATGGGAGGACAGTGACAGTGACAGTGGCAGAAGTAGGAAGTTACTTGGAGGGACAAGTAAAAAGTATAAGAAAACAGAGGCCTGAGATGCAATGGCAGTAGCGGCAGGTGGGACTTCCAGGTATGTCCCAGAACATACTGGGACACTCACACGGAATCATTACCCAGGAGGGAAAGATGCTTTACATGGGCAAGGTGCTGGAGTTCAAGCTTTGAGAAGCACAGACAGTGGTAAAAGACATTTTTTGGTTTGATTTTGGTCTTAGGGGCCATGCCCAGCAGTGCTTAGGGGTTACTCATGGCTCGGCTCTCAAGGTACGATGTGGTCTAGGGATCCTGCATGCAGAACCAGCCCTTCAAGCTGTCTCACTGACCTATTACAAGACACTTCTAGAGATCTCCGATGAGAAACTGACAGAGAAAAAAAAAAGGAACCCAGTATTATGTCTGGAAGGAGTAGTAGCACTGTCCTCCCATTGTTCACTGATTTGCCTGAGCGGGCACCAGTAATGTCTCCATTGTGAGACTTGTTAGTGTTTTTGACCTATCGAATATGTCATGGGTAGCTTGCCAGGCTTTGCCATGCGGGCAGGATACTCTTGGTAGATTGCCGGGCTCTCTGAAAGGGATGGAGGAATCGAACCCAGGTCGGCCGCATGCAAGGCAAACACCCTACCCACTGTGCTCTCGCTCCAGCCCATTGGAGCTTCCGTGGCACGATCGGTTAGCGCATGTGGTACTTACTGACTTACTTAAAGGTATTAATGATAAGTGTATGCATGTTAACATTATCTTAGTATTATTATTAAATTATTTCTTACTTTGAAGACTTCCCTCTCCAGCTATAAGTATGTTTCAAACAGTAAAGGAGATTAAAAACAAATATTAGCAGGGACTGAAAGGAGTAGCCATGTATAAAAGAAAAAGTCAAAAGCAGGAGGACACGAGGGAAGCCTTAGGAGATAGGACAATGAATCTGTTTCCAAGATATTTTTCACTTTGTAACAATCTCTCCAATAAGAAGCTCCATTTGACATGGATAGATATCAGAACAGTATGGTCAGTGCCACTAGAGTTAAGCAAATCCAGATCACCAGGCAAAGCTGCTCTGACGGCCTCCTCAGAGAATTCAAATATGAAGTCCACATCTCTTGTACTCAGAGGAAGAGCAGAAACAGGACTGAAGACTGAGAGATTTGGTTCTGTTGAGGTCACCTATCCAGAGAGAAACAAAGCTGCAGACCACAACCTCCCTGGTGCCTTCCCCAGCTGGCAGGCATTCTCGCCGTCAAAGTACGAACAATTCTGTTTCAAAGCATCTATGTCTACCTTTAGTGGGATAAGGAGTCCTTCAAAAGACACAGGATAGAATAAACCCACTAAAGATGTCAACAATAACAGAAAGTGAAATACAGACCCTCCGCCCCATTGGTCTTATTTGAAATGGATCACATTCAGGCCTGGCGATATCTGAGCTGTGGGGTTTGACGCATGACAGTCAACTTTAATGTAAGCAGCTGAGGCTGAGTGAGGTCTCACATTTGTTGCTAAGAAGCCAGAATTCCTTGCAGCTTCCAGGACATTAAAAGGACTCCCTGCTGGGCTGGAGCGATAGCACCACAGGTAGGGTGTTTGCCTTGTACACAGCCGTCCCGGTTTCGATTCCCAGCATCCCATATGGTCCCCTGAGCACCATCAGGAGTAATTCCTGAGTGCATGAGCCAGGAGTAACCCTTGAGCATCACCAGGTGTGACCCAAAAAGGAAAAAAAAAGGATTCCCTGCCTCCAACCCACGGCTTATCTACAGCTGATCCAGCTCAACAGACTGCTCCCCAATTGAGTGGATACTTGATCCATTTCAGACCTCAAGTTGTGTTGTTTACTGATTATTTACTCCTACTCATTTTATTACTATCTGTGCAATACTGCCATCCTCCTTAAAGCAGTTTAATTTTGCTGCTGCTTCTTGAATCTAATACGATGCTCACATTTTATGCTCAGAGGAATAGACTAAGAGGCTGGAAGTTTGGAGGAATACAGAGACTGTTCCGTGGGGTTTGTAACGGAGGTAGCGTTTAGGGGAGGATTATTTCACTTGGAACTGCACATTCCTCTGATTGTCTTGAACTTGTTAAAATGTATATGTGTGTACTTTCTTTGAGTAGGTGGCAGTAACTGTGGACAGTCCATATATCAATTTGAAAGCATTTCCCCAAGCAGCCCTGTGGTACTGGCCCTGCCCTGGGAGCTAAGGCTGTGAAGGTGGCTCAGGGACTCTGGTTCCTGGGGTCCATCTGGGAGAAGAAACCAATGGGACTATGGACAGTGCTTCCCATTTGGGTGAGGCTGCCCTCTGCGGGTGCCAGGAGCAGGTGCAAGAGGGAGGTGCCTTGTTTTCCAGAGGGATGCTGAGTGATTTTTTTCCCCCTTACAGTGGGATAGTGGGTCCAATAAGTCTGGAATTCTCTGCCTGAGTAGGTCCCCTACAAACCCATCAGGGTTCAATTATCTTATTCCTCTCGTTAAAACTCCACCAGTTCCCACTATGTCTGTCCGGGTGCAGGAAAGCTAGTCATGGGTCCTGTCCAGACGCCCGGCAAGCTCAGGCCCCTCCCCTGTTCTTGGATCTCCCTTCCCACTTCTCTCCTTCACTCTGTCATTCACTCCCTGGCCACACTTTGTTGTCCTGGCAACAGCCTGCGACCAGAAGCCTGCAGGCTCCCTCCTGTTCATCTGGGCAGAGATTTCCTTGACCCCCCCCTTTGAAGAGATCCATGCTCTGGACTCATGGGCCCTCCCGGACCACTGCTGTTCTCCACAGCTCCCTCAGAACTGCTCCACACTTGCTTATTTTCTATCTCCCTTTTTTAGAGTTCTGTAATAGCAGGATCTTTTATTATTTTTTTTAAGTTGAGATGGCACTGGACGGTATATGCATTAGGGGTATAATTTCACACCTCTTCAAATTTCACAGCTACTACAAAGTACCAATATCTTGAGGACAGGCTGTTGCTTGCTTTAGGTCTGTGGCTGGCACCTCAAATGATGCAATTCTTGGTAGGGGTTTAAGATATACTTGATGAATGAGTGACTTGGTTATCATCTCTCGCATCTTGCAGGTATTTAAAGAAAGATATTAACTGTTTTGTGCATCATTCTATACCGAAGTAGAGAAGGATGACTTCTTACAAGAAGTCTAGGAAGAGGTACAAGGGTAAGGGATTTGCTTTGCACACAGCTGACCTGGGTTTGATCCTTGGTGGAACAAATGGCTCCCCAAGCACTGTCAGGAGTGAGCCTTGAGCACTGCCAAGTGTGGCCCAAAAGAAAAAAAAAAAAAAACAAGAAAAAGAAAGAAGACCCAACTCTGTGCTCAGGGATCACTCCTGACAGGGAAATGGGAATTATATGGGATGCCAGGGAGTGCTCCAGCCCCTGATTCCATTTCTTAAAATAAATTTTTTATTTCATAGTAAAATTTTATGGTCCATTTTATATGTTACATATAATTTCAATGAAGATTATGCTTGGGCATTTATATAATTTGTTACCATTATTGGGACTCTTTAGGAAAGTTATTAATTGAATCTTATCATCTGCTCCCTCACAAAAAAAAAAAAACCCAAAAAACTCTGGAGGTACCAAAGTGCTAGTATAGTGGGTAAGGTGCTTGCTTTGCACGCGCTGGCCTGGGTTCAATCCCTGGCATCCCATATGGTCTACTGAAGTCACCAGGAGTGGTCCCTGAGGCAGAGCCAGGAGTAAACCCTGAGTACCACCACGAGGCCTAAAAACCAAAAACCAAAATGAAGCCAAAAAGGAATTGGGGAAAGGGGTTCCCATGCTTGGGACTGACCCTGGAACACACTAATACTCCTTTCTGTGCTGTGTGGTGCTCAGGGACAAGAGGGTGCTGGGGCTCGAACTGGGGTCAGCAGCAGGCAAGGTAGGCCCCTTAACTCCTGTATATCTCTCCAGTCCAGAGAGGGAATTCCTACACTTCACTTCTCAGTTTTAATTGATTCTCCTATTCTTTTCCAATTCTTTATGCCTGAGGTCATATTGCAAAAGGCAACACATCTTTGAACAACAAAGATGAGAGCAGTTGTCCACATTTTTACAATTTGTTCTAGTAGAAACGAGTCTGCCTTTTCATCCCTAAAATAATGTAGTCTGATTGTTGATAAAGATTATTTTTCATTCTAGGTGATTTATGATAGGCCAACAGTGTTCAAGAATGGCAGGAGCCTTGGTCCACACCGCTCTGTGCTTAGGGTTCTCAACATGCCTCAGTAAAGCTCATCAAGAAAATACCCTCCCACCCACTCCTTCGGACTCCCACTCTTGATCATGTTTTTTAAAGTATCTAGTCTTAAGATCTTTATCTTTTATTTTTATTGATTCATGTCTTATAAGCTACCAAATTAATTTACTCAAGTATTAAAACTTTGTTTATAGTATACCTTATTTGTTTCCCAAGAAGTCCTCTCTGCTGATTTAAAATTATAATCCAAATAATGATATGAATGTTCGGGATATTTAGGAAGGAAACCTAAAAGTGCTTTGAGGGAGAAAAAGCACAGATCTTTACATAAATTTGTTCAAAGTCAGATAACTTTTTAAATATTATCTCTTTTGGAGGTTGTTGGGCCACACCTGGCAGTGCTCAAGGTTGACTCCTGACTCTGTGCTCAGGGATCACTCCTGATAAGTTTGCAGGACTATATGGGGTCCTGGAATCAAACTCAGGTCAGATGCATGCAAGGCAAGTTCCTTACCCACTGTACTAACTCTCGGGCCCAATGGCATATTTTACTTACAATCATTTTCACATGAGTCTTTCTCAGATTCAATTATTGCTTGATAACCGTCTTCAATATTAAAGCTAGTACTTCCTTTTGGAAAGTAGTCTTCATTTGGGAACTAGAAGACAAGAGGTCAATTTATCAGTTTATTTTGTAAAAAGAAAAATCCATGTGTGTAGTTATCTATACACTCGCATACTGCTTAGTTATAAATAGGCATAGAATAACAGGAATGTATTATAAAACTCATTCTAATCATCAAAGCAGAGTATAGTATACACCATCAAGTATAATGCTTTACATTTAGTTCCCATTTTATCTCTGAACTACAGATGCACCTTAAAACTGGTGACAATGTTACATGTCTTTAACACAGACATTTAACAATAGTTTTCACTTCCTGTAGGTGTTCAACATATGCAAATTAGTCTCTCTTCGTGTAATGATCACTTAATTATAAATTTGAAAAGCTATTTTTAGACATGTTAAATAATTTCGCTACTTAGATGTCTTTCAAAAACCACACTTTGTTTTTTGGCTTTTTGGGTCACACCGAGCAATGCTCAGGGGTTCATCCTGGCTCTGCACTCAGGAATGATGCCTGGCGGTGTATGTGAACCATATGGGATGCCAAGGATTGAATCTAGGTCGGCCACGTGCAAGGCAAATGCCCTTTCCACTGTGCTATCACTCCAGCCCCATCATCCACAGAAATTTAAATGAACTTTTTTTGCACAATTTAGTCCTGACATAAAGAAAATGACATGGCAAGATGCAACTATGAAAATATTTTTACCTGCAAGAAGTCAGCCTGCACACCAGTGCCAGGAGCCTGTGGTGCCAGCAACCAAGCACCGGCTATGGACTTCTCACTCCGGACGCTCCCAGGAAACAGACTGTGTCCCTGGGGAGTGCTGGGCCTTCTGAGCATCATAGCACCGGCAGCAGATCCTCTCACTTGGTGCCCTTGAAACTCAACAGGCTACAGGCAGACCATTAACAATGAATAATGCAGCCTACGCTGAACAAGCTCCCACGGGCTTAGTACATACTCTGCCCAAGTTCCTGCTTTTTGTTCTTTTTCATATCAGGAATTGAACCCAGGGTCTCTTGTGTCATGCATGTGCCCTGTCATGAGATTCCTGGCCCCGAAGCTGCTTCTGATTTGTATACTAGTGCCCCTCTGCTGTTCATTGTTGCCGTTTATCTGGGGCCAACAGCTGGCTTGCTCAGCGATCACTCATGTTGGGGCTCTGGAAACCATCTGGGGTTCTGGGGATTGAGTCCATGAACTCTCGGGCTTAATGCAAGAGGACTGGTAGTCTCGGCGTCTCCTGAGAGCAGAAGCCTGAGAATCTGGCATGAGTGCCTTGGAATTTCTTTCATCCTTCCTGACACATAAGCGTTCAGGATTCAAATAGCTTCCTCTGCTGCCCCCTTGAGGGCGCTAAGATTTTTCACTCCAGACCCATAACAAAGCCAACCCAGAATGGGGAAAAGATTGCTCTTAGTGGCAAAAAAATATACATAAAGTAATTTATTTCTAATGGATAAAGTACGAAAATCATGTTAATATGGAACCTGAAAGTCTCTTATTTTAAAATGAGTGCGAATCACACATCTGAAAGGAAAATCAAATCTAAGATGCCCATATGGGGCTGGGGATGTGGCTGACGTGGCAGTTGGTACCCTGCTTGGCCCCCAGTTGAACCCCCTGACCCCTCCCAGCCCTAGCATTACCAGGTGTTGCCCTACTAAAAACAATAATAAAATGCTCACACAAGGGCTGAAGCAACAGCACAGCGGGTAGGGCGTTTGTCTTGCACGCAGCTGACCCGGGTTCAATTCCCAGCATCCCATATGGTCCCCTGAGCACCACCAGGGGTAATTCCTGAGTGCAGAGCCAGGAGTAAACCCTGTGCATCACAAGGTGTGACCCAAAAAGCAAAAAAAAAAAAAAAAACCCTCACATAGAGGTGGGATTTTTTGTTTTAATTTTTTAAAGATTTTAAAAGTCTCAAGTAAAAGAGGTCTAGTTGGGATTTGTTTGGTGAGAGGTACTTTGTTTCCACAGATGACATTTTCTATGCTGCGCCGCAGAGCTCTCTATGGTCTTGGAATAGAACTGATATTTGGAAAACCTAACCATTTACATGCAGTTGTGTTCATCAGTGTATGCGTATGTCTACCAGGACCTGAGCCATATCCTGACCCCTAGCAATTTCTGATGTACAGGAGACAGTTGAGATTAGAGCCTGGGCTATATCTATCAATTTCCGATGTACAGAAGACAGACAGTCCAGATTAGAGCCTGGGCTATATCTACTATACACTGAGCCATTAGGAGAGTGGAGTAGACAAGATCAAATTAAAGGCTATTCAAGTCCTCATTTACATTCTCCACAGAACATTAATTGTACCAGATATTTCCTTTTTTTGTTTGTTTTGGGGCCACAACCTGCAGTGCTCAGGGCTTACTCCTCACTCTGTGCTCAGTGACCACGCCTGATGGTGCTCTGGGGACCATAAAGGGTGTCAGGAATGAAACCCAACTTGGCACATGCAAAGCAAGCACCTTAACCCCTGCACTCACTCTACAACTCGCTGCCATATCTATGTCCAACCCCCAAGACATCGTATGTCTGTTGCTTATTAACTCATTAGTAACAGAACAAGGGATCAAGACAAAAAGCAAGTGGTTCCTTCTCTTGTTCTTAAAACCAGACACATTTGTTATATCACTAACCTGTCTTCGGAAACTGTAACTGGGAGGGGCAGGGTGGGGGGGAAATAAATATTAGGAAAATATAGGTGGTGAGAAAAATCGATGTTTTTCATAAATTTTACCTGAGGGTCACAGGCCGCTATCTCTATCTGTTTAGGAGTAAAGGCTACAAAAGGAGGCTCCTCTTCAGTGTTCAAGGAAAAGAACTAGAACAAAACAGTAACAAGTATATGGCTGCAGAGTTCTTGAGCTGGTTCATGACTCTCATGGCAAAGATTCTCCAAATGCAGGATCAGATGTGACCTTTGGAAATATACTTGCTGGGGCTGGAGAAGTCCAGTGGGGAGGGCACTTGCCTTGCACGCAGCCATCCCGGGTTTGATCCCTGACATCATATTAAGTCTCCAGAGTCCCTCCAGGAGCAATCCCTGAGCACAGCTAAGTGTGGACCCCAAACCAATCCCCAAAAGTGACCTTTTCTGGGGATTTTGGGGGTGTCCCAAGCTGTGCTGTGGAGGCCAGAAGACCCTTTCTGGCAATTCTCAACTCAGCTAGTGGGTGGTTTAGTGATGCCCAAGGGGGCAGCTCTGACCCCACAGGGCCCAGACCCTCCAGGGAGGTCTGCACCCCACTATATTTGGCCTTCAGGGCTGCACCCAGCAATCCTTGAGGGACCATATAGTGCTACACTGCCTTAGAATGAGGGATTTGGTAGTTTACCAAATCCCCAACTCCTACTAACTACACAGGACACTTCACAAAGGAAAGCAGGCTCACCTGTCAGCTATGGAGGGGTATATATAGAAGTTCAATTGTGTATGAGTACTGCTTCATAAAATACAAACTAAACTGGGGCTGGAGCGACAGCACAGCAGGTAGGGTATTTGCCTTGCATGTGGCCGACCCGAATTTGATTCCCAGCATCCCATATGGTCCCCCGAGCACCACCAGGAGTGGTTCCTGAGTGCATGAGCCAGGAGAAACCCCTGTGAGTCACCGGGTGTGACCCCCCCCCAAAAAAAAACTAAACTGTATCCCATTATCTCTACATGCAAATTGAATGTCTGGCTACTTTACATTTAAAAGTTAACTCACCTCCAAAGATTGAAGTGGTTCAGCAGGTTCTACTTCATTTTCTTTTAGCATCTTAGAAAGAGAACATTAATATATGTAAGATAAACAGAACATTAATAGATGTAAGATAAACTAACAAGCAACAGTAAGATATAAAAATATGTAGAATTTATATTAGACATAAGAAAGACAAGAATAGGGGCTGGAGCGATAGCATAGCAGGTAGGGCGTTTGCCTTGCACGGGGCCAACCTGGGTTCGATTCCCGGCATCCCATATGGTCTCCTGAGCACCGCCAGGAGTAATTCCTGAGTGCAGAGCCAGGAGTATCCCCTGTGCATTGCCAGGTGTGACCCAAAAAGCAAAAAAAAAAGACAAGAATAGGGGCTGGAGCGATAGTATAGCAGTAGGGTACTTGCATGTGGCTGACCCGGGCATCCCATAGGGTCTCCTAAGCACCACCAGAGGTCACAGAGCTAGGACCATTGAGAGCACTCTTAAGTGTGGCCCAAATCCCCTCAGCCCGCCATAGAAATCAATGTGGACTAAGAAGTCTTTTCTGACCCATGTAAGTCCTCTGTATTACTCTAACCTTATTACAAATTCTAGAACAGTCTCTAGCAGCACAAGACAACATACTGCTAAAAATACTATTTACCTGTGGAGAATCCTGATCCAGGTGGGGAGGCTTTGGCACAACTTGTGAGGCGAGTGTAGTCAGTGGTCCCCCAGCTACAAGGGAATAAGATGAATATCTTATTCATCACACAGATACTAATACGCTAATATTTCTTAAACTATCTTTTGGAATACACCTGGCAGTACTCAAAGCTTACTCCAGTTTCTACACTCAGGCATCACTCTTTGCAAGACTCAGGGGACCCTCCTCAGTGTCAGGGACCCAACAGGCAGGCCATGTACAAGGCAGGCACCTTCCCCGCTGTACTATCACTTTAGCCCCTGTTAAGCTTAATTATAAAGTGAAACATAAAAGAACCTATGGTATAGAGTCATTAAATAGATCCAGGTCCAGGAAGAATCAGTACTTGGCTTTGTCTTGGAATTTAAGTTGGGCTGGGGAGGTATTCGTGGGGATAAGGAGCGTGCCTTGCCTAACACCAACCTGGACTTCATTTCTGGCACCCTACATGGATCCCGGAGCCCCACCCAGGAGTGAGCCCAGAGCCAAAAGTAGGCCCTGAACACCAATGGTGTTCCTGTGAACCCCCCACCAAAGAAAGTCATTTGGGTGCCACACCAAGCAGTGTTCTGGGATCGGGGGGACCAAAGTGTTGGAGATTGAACCTGGATTGGCAAGCACCTTACTCATCGTACTACTGTTCCCCTATACCCCCCCCTGAAATAAGTTCTTAAAAGGCACTGGATGGGGGCCGGAGCGATAGTACAGCGAGTAGGGTGTTTGCCTTGCACGTGGCCGGCCAACCCATGTTTGATCCCTGGCATCACATATGGTCCCCCAAGCACCGACAGGAATAATTCCTGAGCACAGAGTCAGGAGTAACCCCTGAGCATTGCTGGGTGCGACCCAAAAAGAAAAAAAAGACACTGGAAATAAAATGACTTTCTCTGTGTTCACTCAAGAACAAAACTATAAATTAATAGTTCCAAGATGTATCAGCCATTCCATAAAAACTAACAAAAGAAACTTAGCTGATCAAATTATCTAATTTGATATTAACTCCATGAAGTCTTGGGTGATGTTCCAATAATGGACTCACTTTTCTCCGAACCAACTCCACCCTCTTTCCTCACAGGTTCTGCCTTCCTGCCACAATATACCCGCCACCCGATCGATGTACTTTCTGGGGTCTCCAGTGCACATGACCGTCCAGCAGAGGTGGGCTGGCCACCCTGCTTCCCAGCCCAGCTGGCTTCTGGTGACCTACTTAATATACTTTTCACATCCAGTTTTGGGCTGGAGCAATAGCACAGCGGTAGGGCGTTTGCCTTGCACACAGCCAACATGGCCGACCCAAGTTCGATTCCTCCGCCCCTCTCAGAGAGCCCGACAAGCTACCAAGAGTATCTCGCCCGCACGGCAAAGCCTGGCAAGCTCCCCGTGACGTATTCGATATGCCAAACACAGTAACAAGAAGTCTCACGATGGAGACGTTACTGGGCCCGCTCGAGCAAATTGATGAACAATGGGAGGACCATGACCCATCCAGGTTTTATTGGTAACTGCCTTTAAAATGGTCCCCAGTACAGGCTTATCTAGTGCCAAGTGCCAAAAAGCTGTGATGTCCGTCAGGAAGATTTGCACTTTAGATGTTTCATTACATGAGACTTGCTGAGCTCCTGGCCTCGAGTTCAATGGCAGTGAGCCAACAATCTATCATAAAGGTGGCTGAAAATGGAACACACAAACAGGTTTTCATACTGATTGATATTTCTCCTAAGTGGTAATTCAGTGCTTTCAGTGACTTTGGAGAATGTGGCTACCACAAATGAGAATCAACTATAATCCTCATAACCTGAGGTCTTTCCCCCAAAAGTAATGTTAATTCCTAAAGCTTTATATGAAGGACTTATTACATTCTATGTTATCAACCCAGGGGCTAGAGTGACAGGACAGCAGATAGGGCACTGGCCTTGCACTCAGCCAATCTGCGTTCAATCCCCAGCATCCCTTATGGTCCATGCGCACTACCAGGAATGACCCCTGAGAACAGAGATAGGAGTACCCGAGTACCAGCAGGTGTGGCTCCCAAAACAAAACATACACTATCCTCAATTCAGCAGTCTCAGTAGGCTATTCTAAAAACATAGTTCAGAGGATTTGGGACTTGATGAATTTGTACAAGTTTTCTGTTTGCAGAGACGTAAGTCTGACACTGGAACTTTTGCTGTGTGCTGTGGGCTGAGGAAGTGGCGATACTGATGGGGATGAGGAAACACAATTATGGGTAGAGGACAGGAAGACCCCGTCCCAGCGTTTAGAATGGCAGTTAGGGCTAAGGAGATGGCTCAGAGGCCCAGGGCACATCTTGCTTGCTGGAGCCCCAGGTTTAATGTTTCCCAAGCACTGCTGGATATGCTCCCCATCCCACAACCCCAAATAGAATTGTAATGAGATCAATCTGAACTCAGGACTTAAAAAAAGAAAACGGGGGCTGGAGCAATAGTACATCGGGTAGGGCAACCTGGGTTTGACCCCTGGCATCCCATATGGTCCCCTGAGCAAAATGAGAGCAGAGCCAGGATTAGCCTCTGAGCATTGCTGGGAGAAAGAGAAAGAGGAAAAGAGGGAAAGAAAAAGAGAAAGAAAGGGAGGGAGGGAGGAAGGGAAGAACTGTCACTGTCCTCCCATTGCTCATTGATTTGCTCGAGTGGGCCCAGTAACTTCTCCATTGTGACAAATGTTACTGTGTTTGGCATATCGAATATGTCACGGGGAGCTTGCCAGGCTTTGCCGGGGGTGGGGGGTGGGGGGCGAGATACTCTCAGTAGCTTGCTGGGCTCTCTGAGAGGTGGAAGAATCGAACTCGGGTCGGCGATGTTGGCTGCTTACAAGGCAAATGCCCTACCCACTGTGCTATCGCTCCAGCCAGGAGGTAAGAAAAGAAAGAAAAGGAAAGAAAGAAAGAAAGAAAGAAAGAAAGAAAGAAAGAAAGAAAGAAAGACAGACAAGACAAGACAAGAGGCTGGAGTGAGAGTCCAGGGGCCTCCAAGGGTGCCTGCCTTGCAGCCTCTCCTTGGGGTCAGTGAAGCACAGGTGTTTAAGATGCTTCCCTTGCACGCAGCTAACCCTCGTTTGATCCCCAGCACCACAAGCAACCCTAAGCGGAGCCAGGAGTAGCCCTGAGCACTGCAGGGTATGGCCCAACACCCCCAATACTCCCCCCTGCAAAAAGCTAATTTTTAAAATCTCCTAGCAGTATTCAAAAATGATTAGGAATGAATTCTCATATATATACATTATTCACCTAGATGTGCCCACTGATGGGTGTTCAGGTGCAGAGCACCTCAGAAGGGCACCCTGAAGGAGGCTGTCAACAGACCTGCTTTGACCATGGCTCTCTCTTTCAGAACTGATTTTGCAAGTGCGATATTTGACATTTATTCCAGTATTGTGTACTTGTTTAATGGAGAGTAGCCTCAAGAGCAAACACCCACTCTTCCTCTGAGCTCGAACCAGGGGCCGAGGGTGGAAGGCAGCTCTGCATGCTGGAGGGCCCTGGTGTGATTCCAGCATCACATAACCCCAAGAAGCCTGTAACAGTGGCTCATATACAAATGCCTAACTCGGGCCAGAGAGATAGTACAGCAGACAGGGTGCTTGCCTTGTGTGTGGCTGACTGTGTTCAGTCCCTATCACTTCTTATTAACTCCCCAAGTCCCACCAGGAATGCTGATCCCTGAGTGCAGAGCCCGGAGTAAGCCCTGAGCACTGCCAAGAGTGAACCCCCCACAAGCTTAGTTATAATGCTATATGCCTAAAACCTGTTATGTCATTTTATTTATTTTTTTGCTTTTTGGGTCACACCTGGCGATGCACAGTGATTACTCCTGGCTCTGCACTTAAGAGTTACTCCTGGCGGTGCTCAGGGGACCATATGGGATGCTGGGAATCGAACCCGGGTCAGCCACGTGCAAGGCAAACTCCCTACCCGCTGTGCTATCTCTCCAGCCCCTGTTATGTCATTTTAATAAAAGGGTTTTTTGGGGGGGTTACTCAGAGATCACTCCGGCTGTGTTCAGGGATCACTCCTGACAGTGCCCAGGGATCACTCCTGACATGTAGTGCTGGAGATTGAACAGAAGACAAAAAATAATTACAAAAAGAAATTACACCTGGGAAAAAAAGCTCATGATGACTAGGGTGAATGCCTGCCACGCAGAGCCCTGGCTTTGGTTCCTGGCACCACCAGTGCCAGCAGTGGCCCTAGTAGCTTCCCACTAGGAAAAGAAATTAGCAAAAGGTCACAAAATATATATTTAAGACCAAAAGAATCAAGTAATAAAGACAAAATGAGAATTCCATGAAATAGGAAATTATATACAGTAAGAATGGATTAACTTCTACATTATGTATGTTTCAAAAATAAAGCTGAAGACAAAAAAAGGAAATGTAATATGCTCTTAAGCATTAAAAATAAATTATAGCCATGTTCAAATGAAAAGGAAATGGTGCAGAGCAGCTCTAACCTTTGGGACAGCTCTGTGGCTTGGCTGTCCGGAGACTCTGCTGCTGTTTCAATGTAGTGTTTCTCCTTCGCATTATCTCCAGGCCTTCTAAAGCTGTACTGTGTTCAGACAATGACTTTAAGAGAGAAATGTCATTTATGAATCCAGAAGGTTCCAAAGGAGTTTTAGGACTATTTGAATACTCTTTTCCTCCGGCAGTTTCTACTTCCATAAGGTCCTGGGGCAATTTCTGAATCCTTTCCAAATCTTTTGACACAGGAATATGTACCTCTGTGTCTTTAGAAATAGGATTCCTTGTTCCCAGCGGGTGAAAAAAAGCACTGGAAACTTGGGTATGTGATTCTCCAAGGGCGACACGTTCTTCAAAATGATTTTGCTTAGCATCCAGTGGCTGGACACGCTCATTATAGCTAGAAGTTGATGGGAATAAAACCTGTTCATCGTTCACATCTGAGTCATTTCCCCAAACAAAAGGCTGAGCCTGTTCTGAAAATAAATTGTTTTTAGAAGGCTGATTAGTAGCTATGTTGGAGAAGTGAGGCATCAGTGAACTTGTTTCTGTCTTTTTAGATGTATTTGGAAGTGCAATAAAGACATTATGAATGCTGGATTTAGACTGATTGGCCTCTTTATTATCTACATTCTCATCATCTGGCCACTCTAAAGAGGAGTCAAAATTGCTTAATGTGTCATTATATTCCTGCTCTATTTCTTTCCCAGTATTCCCAGCTTTCCAGAGTCCTGGGTAGAAACCTACACGAGTTTTATCACAAAACTGGGAGAGAGGCTCTGTTGGTTCACCCCTCGAGGACGTAAGGAGGTGCAGATGTGCACCGCCAGCATCTTTACAACTTTCATCCTCATCATGTTGCCTCTGATGGCCAGAATGTTCATCGGTCCCTGAGGTTTCCTCTCCCCAATCCTCTGAGTCCTGGGACATTTTGTGGCTCCCCTGTGCTTCCTCCTCAGTGTCGCTGGCTTCAAAACTGTTCAGATTAAACGTCACCTCCACCAGGGGTTGCTCGACATTACCCCTAAATTCGGAAATTTGATTAAGATTTTCGTTATCACTATTACTTTCAGAAGACACGTGGGTGATGTCATCAGAGAGCCTGGCATTGGTTCTGAGGGAAGGTTCCGTCTGTAGATGTTCCGGTTCCGGCCCTTGTCCAGACTCCTCTTTGGGTTCCACATGTCTGCTTCTCTCCTCGGCATTTTCTCGAATGAGAAGTGATTCTTCCAGGCGCATTGGGTTGCTTTGATGAACACGTATTTTCCTATTTTCTTGAATGCGAGATTCTGACAGAAAGTCACCATTTTCAACAGGACCAAAGGTAACAGGAGCAGCACTGCTTTCTCTGGAGGAAGGACTCTCTAATTCTCCTTCTTGAGCCCAGGGTGGATCATGATTATCCACCGGATTGTCTTCATTACCCTCCCTTCCTCTTTCTGCACATGTCTCAAAATGTTTCCTTTTTTGTGCCAAGATGTCTCTCCTACTGTCAAGGCTGCCTTCCTGGGCCTTGGGTTTTCCTGCTGGATCATTTTCCTCTTCAACTGAAGAATGCTCCGGTGACCTCTGTGAGGGCAAGTAGATGGCCCAGCGGCTTGTTTTTCCCGTGGTGTTCCCCGATAGCTGTGGGTACTGCAACTCTTCTGGCCGCTTCCCCTCAGCACACTCTTCTTGCTCAGCTGAGCACCCTGGCTGAGGAGGAATGGTTCCACAGCCATGTGGCTGTACCTGAGGGCGGTGTTCTCGAAGTTCAGAATCCAACTCTGTGCACACACCAGTTGGTTTGGACTTCAGCAGAGCCAATATCCGGGCTTTGCTTCTGATGCTGTGTGAAACTCCTGAGTGGTGAAGTGACAAACCATCTCTCTTCATGGGCTCGTCAGTTGGGAAAGAACGGGAACACTTGTTTTCAGGACTGACAGGAGAGCAAAAGTCATGTTCATCACCTCGCATTTCTGGATGAATCTTGAAGGCTGATGAAGAAAAAGGCAGCATGCTATTTCTCTCTCTGTTCTCGTAAGCAACACTGTTCTCAGCAACTGCTGGCCTGTTTATATCTTTCTGGCCAGCAACAGAAAACAAAGGAGATGTGTCATAAAGTGAAGAAAGAAACAGAGGCCCAGCTTTCTTAGCCTCAAGTGTTGGAGCCAGTTCACTATTTTCTGTAACAACTACTTTAGGAGGCACTTGACGTGGTCCTTGAAAACCCTAAAAATATTTAAAAGCAATAATTAGCTGGCTTATAATATACATTTTCCAAAGAACTTATAACATGAATTTGCTTTAAAAAAAAAGAAATATAAATGTTCTGCAAAGTGAAGTTATTGTTAAGATATGAAATGTGTATACTTAGGGGTAAAGAAATAGCTCAGTGGGGTATGTGCTTTGCAAGCAGGAGGGGACTCCCAAGAACAGACCTGGGAGAAAGCCCTGAGTCTGGCCATAGGTGGCTCAGAAAGAAAAACATGGGTCAGAGAGGGAGTCCAGGTAAGGCACTAGCCTTGCACACAGCCAACCCTGGTTGAATGCTGGACACTGTATGCTCTGCCAGGAACACAGAGCAAGCAGTGAGCCCTGAGCACAAAGCCAGCCCTGACCACCCCTAGATGTGGCCCCCAATAATACATAAACAAACAACACCCAAAGAAACTTACAGTAAACTTCCTTTTTAAACCAGCGGGCTGGCATCCCTGGGCGCGGCCAGAGGGCACACACTTTCCCAAGCCAGGGGCTGCTTTAGCGACCGTCTGCCCCAGAGTGGTGGGTCCAGCAGTCTTAACCTCCTCAATGGTGACCAAGTATCGGTCACCTTCTAAGTCATCTCCAGGTTTCACCTGCATTTTAAAGAATAAATACGAAAGTCATACGTAGCTAATTATTAGAATATCTATGTCTTCTAAGTCAGATGATATATAGTAAGTAGCTGCTTTATGAGTAAGTAAATTCTTCTGGGGAGAAGCCCACTCAACAGTGCTCCGGAGACCAGATGGTGGCAGGGACTAAAGCTTGGGCTCCTGCAAACACAGCAAGCACCCCTGGAACTTTGAGCTGTCTCCCTGACCCCAACAACAAAATCTGTATTTAATATTACATGCTAAGTTTACTACCAACCAGTGCAAAAAGGATACAACAACAAAAAATATTTTTTTCATTCCATATTATTGGAGACCTATATGAAATCCTTTGCTGCATGCCGGAGATATAAAGGCAAACAGGAAAAACATGAGGACTGGACAGATAGTACAGTGGGCAGGGTACATGTCTTGCATGCAGCCCACCTCAATTCAGTACCCAGAACCACATATGGTCCCCTGTCAGGAGTAATCCCTGAGCAGAGCCAGGAGTAAGCCATGAGTAAACCAAAAAAAGAAAAACAGGTCTCCTTCCAAGCTGTTGAAATTTATACGACTAAAAAAAAAATGATGTGTGTGTGTGTGTGTGTATATCATTATTGTTTGATGCTCACACCTAGTGGTGTTCAGGGCTCTGCTCAGGGATCACTCCTGGCAGTGGTGGGGGGACCATATGTGGTGCTGGGAATCAAACTCACATCAGCTATTTGCAAAGCAAGTGCCTTGTCTGCTGTACTATCTTCTGAGCCCTAAATCTTTCTTTCCAATTAGAACTCTTTAATACCAATTACATACCTTTATAAATAAATGTAATTAGTCATAATTATCACAAATTAAGTGATTATATGACATTATAATCGTTTAATTCCTTTTCGTATAAGCATTTTTAATCACCTTAAAATATAGCAGTTGCCACACATCAGACTGTAAGATACCGTAACACTGTAAATATTTGAAACATAAAAATCTGTATCAGCTTAATCTTTAGAAATAAAATTATTTACAAGGAAATAATAATTACCACAAACTGATTATCTACTAAAATGGTCTTTTCAACCCCAACATAAAATATTATAATTTTATACTATCAATATTAAAATATCATTAAAAAATACTATAACCATTATTGATGTCAAATAAAATTTTAAAAGTTTAAATACCATGGCCCAAATTATTACAGTGATAATAAAAATATGCATTATAATACTTTTAGAATCACTGAAATAAAAAATATATAAGATGGCATCTCTATATTCTTGGTCTGATATTAGTACAGCCCAAGTCTGGTCTGATTTAACTGGAGAAGTTAGCTTACCTAGGAAGTATATGAAAGAGGGACATCAAAGGGTGAACTCTAAAATGGTGGGGAGAGGGGAAGGGGCGAGGAGGGGAAGCACCCTGTGATGCTCAGGGGTTACTCCTGGTTCTGCAACTCGAGAATTACTCCTGGTGGCCTTGGGGACCATATAGGATGACAGGGATCGTACCTGGGTGGGTTACATGCAAGGCAAGCACCCTACACGCTGTACTATTGCTCCGGCCTCTAAGATACTGATTCTTAATACTGAAATACATCTTTAATTTCCTACCCTTTTTCAAATGGGAGAAAAAAACAGAATATTTGATAAAATATTTTAAATTAATGTCAGAAAGATAGCTCAAATGACTGGTACACATGCTTTGCATGCAAGAGGCCCAAGTTCAATCCCTAGTATCACACAATTCCCTTGAGCACTGCTGGGGCATGACTCTTAAGCCAGGAGTATCCCCTGAATACAGCAAAGTGAGACCCCAAAAAACAAAATATTCTTAAGGAGACAAGGGAAATAGCTCAAGACCTGCTTAGCACATGGGAGCCCCAGGTTCAAACCCCTGTACCACATGGTCCTCCAAGCACCACCAGGTGTGATCCATGGTCCCCAAATATAGTTTTCACTGCAGTTCCCTGCCGATCAAAACCATGTCATGGTTAGACTACAGAGCGAGTCACTTCCTGGTTCAAGACCCAGCTCCACTACTGGGAACCTGGCAAGTCACCATCTCTCTATGCTGTATTTCCAATCTATACAAATCACAGGCTAAGAGAACTAATAAACATGTTCTGCAAATGAGACCCAAATTGGATCTCTAGCACCACATGGTTTTCCAAGCACCACCCGGGGTAGATCCCTGAGTCCCAGAGGGGAAGGCCCCCAAATACAGCCAGAAGTAGGTCCTGAGCATCGCCAGTATGGCCCCAAAACACAACAAAACTAAAAACAGGGATAAATAAGGATTTCATTTTAAATGAAATAAAATCTAAAAGGTTTAGCCCAAAGTCCAACTAAAATAATAATAATGACTACATTATTTAACATTTAAATATTAAAAGAGAAGTACTCAAAAAGATTTCCTTAACAATAACTTAAAAATAAAACATTATTAAGATGAACATTAAAATACCTCAAGGCACTTAAGAAATATACTCTCCAAACACTGTCCTTTGTCATCATATAAAATGGCCTGTATTAAAACAAAACAAAATAAATGTTAAACAGGAACAAAACATAATTCTGTTTTCTTATCCTTAGTAGCAAATATAATATTGTTATAGAAGTAAACCATACCATGAAAGATCACCCACTTTATCATCTGAATTAGTTCATAGACCACCGGGGCATGTGGTGGTAGAACATGTGTGGGAGGCCGTGGGATCCACCCAACACCATTCCCCAAAAACAGTAGAAAGTGATTCATATTTTAAATAGATGAAATGTTCAAGAGAACAAAGGCCTATGCACGTGAAATTCAAGAACTTAAGCCCTACCAGGAGGAACCTGAAATGGAATTATAGGAAGCAAAACTAGAATGAATAGAGGGGCTTTGCAAACAGCAGACAAGGGTCAGAGAGAACTCCCAGGGCTGGAATGCAAGTGGGAGGCATGGGAACAATCCCCGGCACGCCAAGGGGAGTGATCTAAGACCCAAGCTAGGGGTAGCCTCCAAGCAAACAAAACCAGGAGGGGCCAGAGAGCCGGCCAGAGGAGGGAAGGCACTTCTTTTTTCCCTGGTTCAATCCAAGGCATCACGTAGAGACCCCTGAGCCCCATCAGGAGTAAATCCTTAAGCAAAGAGTCAGGAGGAAGCCTTGTGCACTGCTTGGATGTGCCCCCTCTCCTAATACAAAACAAATTATTATAATGATGAAATATGGACTATCAGAGGGATGAACAGTGTTTGAAGTCATTAGCACTGGGATAAAACAGCAGTTTATAAGGTATAATGAAGATGGGACCAAAGCAATATAATAGGGTATTTGCCTTGCATGAAACTGACCTGGGTTCGATTTCCAACACCCCATACGGTCCCCCGAGCACTGCCAGAGTGCATAGCCAGGAGTAAGCCCCTAAGCAAAGCCGATATAGTTCACAACAAAAATAATAAGGTATAAAGAACAAAATGGGCTGGAGCGATAGCACAGCAGGTAGGGCGTTTGCCTTGCACGCGGCCAACCAGGGTTTGATTCCTCCGTCCCATTCAGAGAGCTAGGCAAGCTACCAAGAGTGTCTCGCCCGCACGGCAGAGTCTGGCAAGTTACCATTGGCGTATTTGATAGGCCAAAAACAGTAACAACAAGTCTCACAATGGGAACATTACTGGTGCCCACTTGAGTGAATTGATGAACACCGGGAGGACAGTGCTACAGTGCAGTGCAATGAAGAAAATGGTTAATATAAAAGGAGACTTGGGGCAAGGAAGCTAACACCATTATTATTTCAGACTTTCTCCTTGGTTTCTCCACCTATTTCTCCAGTAGACCCTTATATGTTAGTTTCTATTACTTTGGTCTTTTGTGGGGGAAGTGATGTAAGACTTATTGATAATTTCTTTTTTCATACCTTGTCAGTTTATGGACATATCTAACATTTTATTACCTCTAAAGTTTTCCTTATTATTCAATAAGGAAAATAAAGTTTTCCTTATTCAATCAAAAGTGAAAAAACCCAGCTTTGGACTTTGAAGTCAATCACTTGCACTTACTTTATTTCCTAAGTGACTGATCGTCAGAATTCCATCCTGCCAGACTTTTGCCTTCTTTAGCTTTTGGTGAGTATATAGTACCTAAGTCCACAAGGATAAAAACAAGAAAAGGGTTTCTATTTGTAGCAGTTAATGTTTTAAAGACATTGTCAACGAACTAAAAACACAGATCTGCATAGCAATTACAAACGAAATTTTAAAAATAAAACTAGTTTATAAAATACAAGGGAAGGGGAAAAGAGGTAGAAAATCTAAGGAGGGCCGGGGAATGTGCAGTGAAGAGGGGATTTGCCTTGCAGGTGGCTGGCCCTGCGACAATCCTGGCACCACTTATGGTCCTCCCAGCCTGCCAGGAGGGATTCCTGAGGCAGGAGTAAACCCTGAGCACTGCTGGGTGTGGCCCAAAAACCAAAACCAAAACCAAACAAAAAACTAATAAAAAAATTGAAAAGGTAGCTAAGCAGCAAGAATAATTCTGAGTTACCTGAAACTAGCTGTCGTTGGGAAGGGAAACATTTGTAAGCTTTTCCTTCTCAGAATGGAGAGCAGAGTCCCTGAGGCCGCAAGATAATCTCAGGGACCTGCAGACTTCCTTTCAGACACCACCTGCCTCTCTCACACATTCCTTTGACCATGTGCAGTGGAGTCCTCTCCTAGGGTTATGTATGTGTAATACTATGGGGCCGGAGAGGCAGTGCAGGGTGGAGGGCATGTGCCTTGACCCGGGTTTGATTACTGCCTTCCCTTGTGGTCCCCCGAGCACCACCAGAACACCAGGGGTGATCCCTGAACACAGGGCCAGAAGTAAGCCCTGAGCAGAACTGGATTTGGTTCCAAAACAAAAACAGAAGCATATGTAATATTGCAAATTCAGCTCCACACTGATGGGCCGAGGAGCTAGTCCGTGGGGCTAGTGTGCATGTTTTGCATGCGAGAGGCCTGAGTTTGATCCCTAGCACTGTATGGTCCCCCAAGCACTGTCAGGAGCAATCCCCACACATTGCACTAGAGGTTGCCTCTGATATGACCCCAAAACTAAAAACAAACAAAATAAATTCCATTACTGAATACAGAAACATTATCTGAAAACCTAGTTCTTCTCTATTAAGTCAAACATTAAAGAATTTGCAAGAGGCCAGAGAAATAGTACAGCAGGCTGGGCACATGCCTTGCAGAAGGCTGACCCTGGTTTACTCCCTGAACAATGCCAGGAGTGATCCCTGAGCGCAGAGCCATGAGTAAGCCCTGAGTACTGCCAAGAGTGGCCCCAAAACTAACAAACAAAAAGAATTTGCAATAAACACATAGCAAAACTACTCTTAACATTTCCCCCCTGTGTTATAATCTTAAATATAGAGCTATTTTCATACAGATGTAACCTTTGTTCACTCTTCTGTATCACCAAAGGAAGTAATCTGTGTTAAATGGAATTTTAAAACATATGTTTTTTACATTGTTATGATTTCCAATATGAAACACCTTAGTAAATATATGCCCCATAGGGGGCTTATATACACCTTAAGTTTGATCCTAGGTACATGACCCCCCCCCAAACACCTACAGGGCAACCCCAGAGGATCACAGTGGTTGGCCACCCCCCAGTTTCCGTAAAAAAAAAAAAAGGGATAAAATATACACATATTTATACTAAAAAGGTATAAAAATGGCTTTTAAAGAGGCTGTTATTTGCCTGAAACTCAAATCTAATCATCCTTGTTGCTTTTCTCCCTTTTGTTTCTGGGTGATACCCGAAGTGTCAATGATCAGGGGCCACTCTGGACTCTGTGCCCACAGGAACATAGGGAGAGCCAGGATTCGAAGTAGGATCTTGGCCACTAGGCAAGTGCCTTAAATTTGGAGCCATATCTCTGGCTGTTTGCTTTTTTTTTCCTCTCTCTCTTAAAAACTCTTATAGATGACAGACAACAGGCAGATCAGGCGATAGTTGCCGATGTTGTGGATGTCTCCATTCTTATACAGTAGCACAGTCCTGTTGTTTTTCCATTGGGACGGAACCTTGCATTCAGACAGGTAGCGTGTGAAGAGCCAAGCCAGTGTATTGAAGAGTACTGATGGCAGGTTCTTCAGGTGTTCGGGTCTGACCTTCTCTGGGTTGGGTGCTATTCACTTCTTTGCCAATGAAATGGCATGTTGGATTTCGGAAGGGAGAACGTTGGGAACGACATATACATCCTGCGGAATTTGGTATGTGGGCAGGTGGACAAGGCTATTGAAGAGATCCGAGTAGAAGTCATGGATAATCTTCTCCATTGCCCTTCTGGAAGATATAATAGATCTATCAGGATGTCAGAAGGCAGTCATCTTGGTCTTGTAGTTGGCAAAGGACAGGCAGGTGTTGCGAATGCTTTTCCCAGCTTCTGCCACATCGGCCAGGACTGTTGCTCTTCTCTCTTTGAGGTCTTCCTTTGTCGCTTCTCTGTACTGCTTTGCGAGCTTGGACGTTCGATTGTGGTTGTCTGAGGCTCACGCCAAGCCACGTGGGCGAATGAGCTCAAGAGTTTTCAAAGACAGGCGTCTTTTTGTGGTTCTCTCTCTCTCTCTCTCTCTCTCTCTCTCTCTCTCTCTCTCTCTCTCTCTCTCTCTCGGCGTTCCTCAAACAATCATGGAGGTGCTGATTCCCAGTTGATTGTATTCTTCATCAATGATGTCAACATCGAGTCATCCTGATTAGGATTGGCAGAACACTAGATGAAAGACAACCATACGAGCAAGCCGAGTTCCGAAAAGGACTCAGCATGATCGACCATATCCACACGATAACCAAGCTCATTGAGGTTTCTCGGGAGTTCAAGATGCCGCTCTGTCTAACGTTCATTGATTTAAAGAAGGTCTTGATTCTGTTGAGACTGAAGCGGTCATCGAGCGTTAGCCAAACAGAGCGTTCAAACTCAATACATCAAGATACTCCGGGAGCTGTATTACGGATTCACTACCAGGATCTCACTATCCTACAAGGAAGTGATCATTCATGTCAAGAGAGGGGTTCGGCAAGGTGATACCATATCACCGAAACTCTTCAGTGCCACCCTCGAGAACGTCATACGACAACTGGAATGGGAAGGAATGGGAGTGAAGATAGACAATCGGCAACTACACCACCTTCACTTCGCTGATGACATCGTTCTAATAACACCAAACATTAGCCAAGCGGCACAAATGCTGGCCAACTTCGACTGTGAGTGTGGAAAGGTCGAACTATAGCTGAACCTCACGAAGACAATGTTTATGAGAAACGGTCTCATTTCTGACGTCCCATTCGCTCTCAATGGAATGAACATCTCTGAATGTAACAGTTATGTGTACTTAGGTCGAGAAGTCAACATGATGAATGACCTGGCACCTGAGTTGCACAGGAGGAAGAGAGTGGCTTGGAACACCTTCAAGACTGTCGAAGAAATAGCTAAGAGGACGAAGAACTCCAGCTCCAGGCACATCTCTTCGATTCCAGGGTTCTTCCTGCATTAACATACGCCTCAGAGACCTGGGCCCAACAAAAACAGGATGAGAACGCTTTTCGGGTCTCCCAAAGAGGAATCAAAAGAGCTATGCTTGGAGTACCATGCTTTACTCAAGTGAGAGAAAGTATCTGGAATTCCGACCTCCGTCAACGATCGAGAATCAGGGACGCTATCTCATTTGCCAAGACGTCAAAAATCAGATGGGCTGGACACATAATGCGATTTGGAGACGACCACTAGACTAGAGCTGTTACCAACTTGATTCCACAGGACATCAAAAGATCACGTGGCCGCCCACCTACGAGATGGTCAGACTTCTTCGTCAAGACCCTGAATGATCAGTTTGAGGCTCTTCGTGTTCCTGGAGCGAGCAGACACCATTGGGCTACACTAGCACGCGACAAGCAGTAATGGAGATGTTACTGGCGCCCGCTCGAGCAAATCGAGTAACGGGATGTCAAGTGATCAAGTGGTCAAAAAAATCTTGACAACTTTAGCAAGGCACTTTTGAGGAAGAAAAGATGGGAGGAAAGACAAGGAGAGAGAAACACTGAAATCTGCTAAGACTTACAATAAATTCCTGGGTTCCCATTGTTTCTTCTCTATGAGCCAGTCAGGTGTAGAAAATAGTGGTTGTTCAACTGTTTATACCACCTAAAGTGAAAAAGGACAAAGAATCTTCAAGCCCATGAAGAGCCTAAGTATCAAAATACAATCCTCCTCCACAATAAACAAAGGACAAAGAATCTTCAAGCTTATGAAAAGACAAAGTATCAAAATACAATTTCCCCTCCACAATGAAAAAGCACAAAGAATCTTCAAGTTTATGAAAAGATTGTCAAAATATAACCCTCCCCCCAGCCCCAAACTCTTTCTCTAAGACTTCCAAGATCATACCAAGTAAAGAAGGATCAAATTATATACAACAATAACAGGATGAAAGCTGTGGGAAGATATTCCAAGTAGACAGGAAAGTAAGATATCAAAAACAACTAGCAGTCTCAAACATATTTCTGATACTATGCTATCAGAAAATGACTTTCCCCCCCCAACCCCCTTACATATTAAGATCCTTAGGTGGTTCCATTTTTAGCACAGTGGATAGGGCGTTTGCCTTGCACGAGGCTGACCCGGGTTTGATTCCTCCGTCCCTCTCAGAGAGCCCGGCAAGCTACCGAGAGTATCCCACCCGCATAGCAGAGCCTGGCAAACTCCCTGTGGCATATTCGATATGCCAAAAACAGTAACAAGTCTCACAATGGAGACGTTATTGGTGCCCGGTCCAGCAAATCCATGAACAGTGCTTCAGTGCTGCTGAGTCACTAAGTTCACCACAAGATGGCCCCCTTGCCTAGAATTTCTTTCCTTTTTACATGTTATTATTGCACAATAACTAGGACCAAAGATATATTTCTGCAAGAAACATATCTTTTCAATTATCACTGAAACAAATACTATACTTATCCTATGCCTACCGGGTAAAATTGTTATTGTCAAAATTTGCAAATCTCATTCTCAGTAGGGGCCAGGGATGTGGCACAGTTTCCTCTAATGTGAGAGGTCCTGCCCGGCACCACTCCAAAAATTAAAAATAAAATCACTGGGGCCGGATAGATTGCACAGTGGGTAGGGCGTTGCCTTCCACATGGCCGATTCGGGTTCAACGTCTGGCATCCCATATGGTCTTTCAAACACTGCCAGGAGTAATTCCTGAGTGTTGAGCCAGGAGTATGCCCTGAGCCTTGCCAGGTGAGACCCAAAATGCCAAAAAAACTTTTTAAAAAAATTTTTAAAAAATCTTCAGTGGTGAATTTAAAAAGTAAAGATGCCAAATAATTTTTTCCCCTTAAAGGAATAGTCCGAAAGGTATAAATCCGGGCCTGGAGCGATGGTACAGTGGGTAAGGCGTTTGCCTTGCCTGCACGCGGCCGACTGGAGTTCGATTCCCAGCATCCCAGAGTCCCTGAGCACCGCCAGGAGTAATTCCTAAGTGCAGAGCCAGGAGTAAACCCCTGAGCATCGTTGGGTGTGACCCAAAAAGAAAAAAAAAAAGTATGAATCCTGGAACAGCAGCTTTAATAGCACCATCTGAGAAAGAAAAATTCTAGATCTTGGGCCCCACCCCAAACCTATAAGTCAGAAAGCCTGGGGTAACCACACAGTTTTAGCTAGCCTGTAGACGATTAGCAATACCTATTCAAGTTTGAAAACTCAACCCGGGAAGACTGATGGGGCCCACACAAAGCTCATCTGGGTCTGATCCTCCTTTATACAAAACAAAAAGAAAAGCAACCACCAAATAGGGTACCTACACATTATTTGTTACCTATATTGTTCAGAAAATACTAGTCAGATACTAGCCTATGCCGAGACACTAAAATGAACAAACCATGAGGCTGGAAAGGTAGTACAGTGGGTAGGGCGCTCGCCTTGCACGCTGCCAACCCGGATTCGATCTCTGGTATCCCATATGGACTGACAGAAGTGACTCCTGAGCGCAGAGCCAGGAATAAGTTCTGAGCACCACTGGGCTTGGCCCCAAAACCAAAATAAAATAAACAAAGTATCTTTCTAATCTCAGGGCATTTTTCAGTCTAGAGGGCGTGATGAATAACTAAAGTATGAAAGGAGAACTGGAGTGACAGCACAGCGGGTCGAGCACCCGCCTTGCAGGGGCCCACCCGGGTTCAATCCTGGGCCTCCCGTAGGGTCCCCCCAACCCCCCAGGGCTGATTCCTGAGTATTCCCCTGAGCAAGTCCGGCGTGGCCCCAAAACAAACAAAACCAGGAGTAAGAGGGGCCCTCTCTGGAACGACCCGTAGACTCCCCGAAGCACTGAAGGGCTAACCTCTAAGGGGTAATAACCTTTAACCCAGGAGAGACACGGGAGTGATTTCCCAGCAGGGGCCCCCTGGGGGAACGAGGGGACAGCCGGGCATCACGCGGGAACTCTGAGGAGTGCACTGAGGGGGTCACTCATCTCCCCGCGTCTGGCAGGAGGCCAAGTGTGCGCCCACGCCCCCAGGGAAGACTCCCCCACGCTGTCCGGGCCGAGGCGTGGACACGCTCTGCAGCGAGGTCCAGAAACACCACAGGGGCCGTCTGTGCCCGCGCTGCCCTGGACGCTGCCAGGTCCAGGCGTTGCGCTCACGACGCTCGCGGGGAGATCAAATCTTCCGGGTGTCCCTGGGCTCGGGAACAGGCAGGACCCACAGTCTGCCCAGGAGGAAACGCCTCCGAGGAGCGACACCCTACCCCCCGCCCCGCCCCCAACGCCGCCTTCTGAGGCCTCCAGGCCGTGCCTCCGAGGACCGTGGTTCTCCGTGCTCCGATCCTGGGGCCGGCACACGCCGCAGGACGCTTGTCAGGCCCCGGGACAACACAGATGCTTCCCGCGGCCCCTGTCTAGGTGTGCACGGAGCGAGAGGAGCGGCGGGGCCGGGGCCCAGGCACGGCGGAGACGACGGGGAACCCGCGGCTGCAGGGGCTCCGCCCGGCGGCGGGGCTTCCACTCGGCGCCCTTACCGCTCGGCTTCTGCAGCAGCAGACTCTTCCGTCCCTCCGCCCCAGACCGGCCAGGCGGCGCACGCTGCAATCCCGGCGTGAATTCACCCCTCAAAACACTGTCAGTCCCTCTGCCGGATCAGATCACACAGAATACACTTTCGAATTTCTCCCGCGAACGCCCGTGCGTCATCAATCGGGGACGGCCACAGAGGGGGTCCCAGAGCTAGGCCCGCCCCTTTCCCCTGGCAGCCAATCACGTCCCTCTCTGGCGGGCGCCCCGCCTAACCGGCCCCCCCGCCCCACCCAACCTCCGGTGCCACGCCCCTCGGAGCCCGGCCACTCCCGTGACGTCACGGAGACGCCGCGCGACGCCTCAGGCCCGCCTCTCGGGGAAGCGAAGCGGAGCGCGGCGTCGCTCCTCCTATGACGCGAACGCCACCGCCACCCTGAAGCTGAGGAGACGGAAAAGGGCGGAAGGACGCGGCCTCGGGGCCTGCAGCCGGGGAGGTGAGCGGAGGGGTTTCTAGGTCCACGGGCGGGTCTCCTCGGCGGGCGGACTCCCCGCAGCTCTGTTCCCTGCTGTGCCTTCGGTCGCGCCCCGCCCCCCGCTCCGTTGCCCCGCCGCGCCTTTGCAGCTTCTGTGCGCACGCGCAGAAGCCCTTCTGCCGCCCGCTTAGTTCCGGGCCCGAGCGAGAGGGGGCGCCCTCGCCCCGGCCAGCCTTTGCGGGCGTCGGAGAGGTGGGGGGACGGGGGCCGAGAGGGGCCAATGGGATTTCTCGAACCGGGCTGGCGCCCAGGCTGCGCGCGGAGAGGGAGGATATGGGCTCCCATGGGGGTGTGGACTCTCGGGTCCTGGTTACCGGGAGTCCGGCCGTCGAACGGGGGTGGTAATAAGTGCTCGGTCCGGGGTGCAGTGCACTGTGGAGGGAGTTAATGCATGTATTTCGGGGGCGTGGTGGTGGGAAAGAACTGAAGCAGGATGACTTTTTTTTTGGGGGGGGTGGTTGGAGATGGTCTGGGGTTCCTTGATTCCTCGTCAAGGAACTAAAAAGATAATAAATAAGGCCGGTTGTCTTGCATTAGCGCTCGTTTGCAGCTCATCTCGGCCTTTCCTTGTCATTGAGCTCATTTGCAGCCGAACTCTACAAATGCTGTTAACTTATGCAGATTCGCCCTGCAGCTCATTCATTCTGCAGTTATGGCCTAACAGGTTTTGCGTCTGCTAGCGAAGTTTTGCACCCCCCCCATCCCATCCCCCATCCAGGCTCTTGCTGCTTAGACCTGTCTGCGTTTTGAGGTCTCCTTTGAACTGGTTCTTAAATGCTTTGCCAGTTCCCAGGTTTAAGTAAGACTTTTGCCTTGTACTCGTCATCTGTTTGTGTGAGCGCTTTGGAACTTACAGAATTTTTAATGGTTCACAAGGTGTCATTGAAACCAACCAAAAATTACATGGAATTTATTTAGGTTCCGGGTTTGAGTCAAGAGCTTAAACTAATAGGCCACCTGGCAGTCTAACGGACCAGAAACTTTAGTAGCTGTGGCCAACACACTTCAGGTTTGGCCCTCTGTAAAATACAAGTGGTAGAAGAGGGGCTGGTGGGTAGGGTGGTTGTTTCCTTGCATGCCCTCTCCCCAAGTTCATGTGGGGCACCCCACGTGGTCCCCCAAGCCTCACCAGAAGTGATTACCTGAGCAGAACCAAAAGTAAGCCCTGAGCACCCTGCTGGGTGTGGCCTCTCCCCCCACACCTCCCCAAAGATGTTTGATTTGGGGTTATGAAATGACATCACTTTTGTTCAGTGTTGGTGACTTTTAGGTCTGAGACTAACAAAAACTGCTGCTAGTCACTTTTCTGTTACCTACCGTGGCTTGGGGTCACTCCTGGCAGTGCTCCTGAGTGACCAATAGTGTCAGCGATTGAACCACACTCCTGCATGCGAGGCTCATGCTCAGTCCCCCACAACTGCTTTTCAAGATTGCAGATTGTAGGCAAGAGTTTCTGGGCCAGATCTGGGTGGATCTCAGAAACTGCTCCTGACTCAGTGCCCCTGGAACCATGCATTAGCTTATGAAACAGGATGTTTCGGCCACTAAAACTATCTTCTGGCTCATGCATCCTTCAAGCTGATGCTGCTTGCTGAAGCCTAACAGTTACCAAAGCAGACTGTATATTAAGAATTCCATCATATCATCCAAGTCCCAGGTCTACTGTCTCTCCTGCACTTTTCCAATATAAACAGGCTTTTGTATAGATAGGCAGCTTCCCCAGAGATAAGGACCACAATAAGACACATCTTTTCTATTTTAATTTTCCCAAGGAAACCATGTTATGGCAGACTGAGGTTATTTTCAGGCATTCCTCCTTTGCTTCAATAGATGACAATTCAATACATTTTCAAATGTCTATGTATGAGAACCTAAGGGATATATTACATAATGGTAGGTGACAAGCAAAAAGGTAGGGAAGAGTGATCAGCCTAGAAATACAGTCCCGAAATAAGGGTGTATAAATATATATATATATATATATATATGGGCTACCTCTGGTGACATGTAAGCACAGCACTTGAAGTGAGGGAACCAGATAGGTCATGTTTCTAAGGAATAAAGCATCCTTGTGACTGAAAGGTTAAGCTTGCAAAGTAATAAGGATGGGGATTGCTGCACAGAAGTTGAGAGAAAATGTTAATATGATAGTGTAAAGGAAAACTCTATAATCCTACACCAGGAGTGACATCCACCCCCCCACAGAAGCAGTGGTGTAAACATAACTCAAGCCAAATTCCTTGTCACTGAATTCCTTTCTGGTACCCAGGTTTCTTTGGTAAAGGGGGCTGGACTCAAGTCACACTCCTTGCCCTGGGGACCTGTGGGTTTTGTACTACCACACAAACATGAAAATGTTTAATAGTTTTACTACAACTATAGAATTTTATCATGCACCATCATGTAAAATATTTGTATATTTAAGGTTAAAAATACCCTCATGTTTGTCCCCAGCTCCCCTCATTCACAGGAATGGAAACAAAAAGTGGGAATCAAGAAAAGGCCATGGAAGAGGAAAGCAGTGAGAAGAAAAAGGAAGTAGAAAAAAAGAAAAGGTCTAGAGTTAAACAGGTGCTGGCCGATATTGCCAAGCAAGTGGACTTCTGGTTTGGTGATGCAAATCTTCACAAGGATAGATTTCTTCGGGAGCAGATCGAAAAATCTAGGGATGGGTGTAAGTTCTAAATTTTCGGCCACGACTGAAAAGAAAAACAATTACTTACACAGAATTCATAGCTGATAATTTATATGAATTTTTACCTTTCTGTTTAGATGTTGATATATCACTTCTTGTGTCTTTTAATAAAATGAAAAAATTGACCACAGATGGGAAATTAATAGCCAGAGCACTGAAAAGTTCAGCTGTTGTAGAGGTAAGAATTACCAGTTTAATAGTTGTAATCTATATATATCACCTTTTACTCAATTTAACCTTAAATCTTCATTTAAGCTGGACTTAGAAGGCACCAGAATAAGGAGGAAAAAACCTCTGGGGGAAAGACCAAAGGATGAGGATGAGCGGACAGTGTATGTGGTAAGTCATACAACTGGACATCTTAATGCAACAAAAACCTTTATTAACCTTCAGAATAAATGCTCACTTATTAAATGTGCTTTGTTATTATAGGAATTACTTCCCAAAAATGTTAACCACAGCTGGATTGAAAGAGTGTTTGGAAAATGTGGTAATGTTGTTTATGTTAGCATACCACATTATAAATCTACAGGAGATCCAAAGGGATTTGCATTTGTGGAATTTGAAACAAAAGAACAAGCCGCAAAAGCTATTGAGGTAAAAGTCTGCCAGAACCAGAACCTAAAAAAAAAAAAAAAAAAAAAAAAAAAAAAACAGGGTAAATAAAATTAGCTAAAGTATTAAATATACAGATAATAACCATTTTACTTACAATCATTTCAGTTCCTTAACAACCCCCCAGAAGAAGCGCCAAGAAAACCGGGTATATTTCCTAAGACAGTGAAAAATAAGCCGATTCCAGGTCTCAGGGTAGCAGGTAAAAAGTACCATTTACTTGTAATTTTGTAATAAGTAAGAAAATTTATTGTTAAGCATCTTAGTAAAATTGGACCAAAAAAATATAACACTATTGTTACAGAAGAAAAGAAGAAGAAAAAGAAGAAGAAAGGCCGAATGAAGAAGGAAGACAACATGCAGGCCAAAGACTCGAACGCGGATGTGGAAGTAAGTAAAGAGAATGTCTGCAAAGTGAAAAGATCTAGGCCCACCTCGGACGGCTCCGAAACGGAGGCTCCTGAACCCCAGAAGCCACCCTCGAAGAAAAAGAAAAAACGGGAGAAGGCCGAAGCGTCCGGCTTACCTCTAGTCAGAGCAGGAAAAAGGAAGCGAAGTAACTCTGAAGACACAGAAGGGAATCCAGCGTCCAAAGTAAAGAAAACGGCTCCGAAAGAAGACATTAAAAAAGAGACTTCAGAAAGCTCCAAAGAAAACAAAGGTTAGATCAGAATAAATTTTGATTTTAACATAGTATGTATATTTTAACAATTTTAACCAAAATTTTCTTAGACTTAGAAGTTTCCACGGAAGAGGAGAAGGATACAGGAGACATCAAAGATGGGTCGCTCTCCAAAACAAAACGGAAGCACAAGAAGAAGCATAAGGAGAGGCACAAAATGGGAGAAGAGGTGATCCCTCTGCGTGTACTGTCCAAGTAAGTGGGTCGGGGTCGCGGGCACCGGCACACTCCATCACCATTGCTAAAGTGCAATTCCAGTGTGAACTGAACAGAGTTGCAGATTAGCAACAGTAATGGCCTGTCACAGAGGTCTGCGTGGGCCGCGGCCGGCGGTGGAGCGGGCAGGAACCACCACACTAAAACATGGAAGCACTTATTCGGTCAGGTCCCAGCAAGTGCCTCCATGTTAAAGTCGTGGGTGCTCCTGATCGGGCACAGAGAAAAGACAGGCAGCGCGGTGCCGGCGGGAGCTGGGGACACGTACATGCAAGACTTACCATCACTAAAACATGGAAGCACTTACTTTTCTAGTGCCAAAGCAAGTACATCCACGTTTAAGTGGTGGGAAGCCTAGTCTGCGCCAGTGGCCTCGGGCAGGTCAGGAAGCCTGACCTTGGGGGGATGCCGCCGGGGACACCTCCACTGAAACATGGAAGCACTTCTGTCGTACACAGCAGGTGCCCCCAGGTTAAAGCAAAGGGGACCGCTGGGCCTGCGCACGGAGGCGGCCGCCTTGCAGGGAGGAAGCCTTTGGACTCACTTCTACTCAAACATGGAAGCACTTACTCTCTGAGAACACAGAAAGCACTCCCATGTTCAAGTCAAAGGGAGTCCACCACATCCAGCCCAGCACAGAACCCCGAGGAGCCCGGCACATACCTTTGCTGAGAAGGGAAGTGTTTCCTAACCTTCCAGATCCACTTCACAAACAGCTGGGCTCTCTCTCTCAGAAGGTTAAAATGCAAAGACCTCAGCACTCGTATTTATACTATTCTTAACTCCTGAATTCCTTTTGCCTTTTTATCTCGGAGAATCATTACAAGAGCCTTTTGTTATTTTAATGTATCAGCTCTCAGGGAATGTATGATCCTGGGTGGGTCTGGAGACTTTTTTTTTTTGCCTTTTTTGAAGTATACAAATGTCAATGTTAACAGCTAAAACCATTACCACAAAATATCCTCCTCTTTAAGAAAATCCCCTATCTGCCTGTTTGATGGCCTAGATTAGGTTAACAATGAGTGCCCTGCAGAGCCTGCGGAGGCATTGTGTTCCTATCTAGAGGAGCTGGAGCTGTTTGAAGAAACATCTACATGTTAAATGTATGTAAATAAATAAATTGCTTCCATGGGGTGTTATTTTCTTCTTAGCATTCCTTTTGATTCAAGTAAATACTGAGGAATGTTATCTCTCTAATGGGAAACAGTTTTAACAAGTAATCTTTAAATTTTAGTCTTTTCTCCCAAATGCCCCACTGTCCTAGTAAATGTTACTAGTTGGTTAATTAATTTAAACTTTTATTTTTACAAATCCAGCTCTCTGCAGCTAAGCTTGCTCAGTAATTGAAGATTTTTAAACACTGAATCTGAATGTTGGTGCAAGGGTGGCTTGTGTTTGCTTTTACTTGATGGACTTAGAACTCAGGAAATCATTTAGTGTGTGTTTAAAAACAGAAAAGTTGAGGAAGAGTTGCAAGTCACTGGGGTTATATATTGAGTTATCTGTTATCAGTATTTCAAAAGCATCGCTGTTTGTTTGGTTTCTTTTTTTTTTTCCATTACAGGAGTGAATGGATGGATTTGAAAAAAGAGTATTTAGCGCTGCAAAAAGCCAGCATGGCATCTTTAAAGAAAACAATATCCCAAATAAAATTGGAATCGGAAATGGAGACAGAGCATGGAGTTTCTAATAAGTCTGAAATAAAAAATGAAAAAGGTAAAAGTGACTGATTTTAGGGATGTTGCAAATTACTGATATTCTCAACAAAATGTCTGCGGCATTATGGGATAAACGTTTTAAAATTTGATAGTCATCATTAGAACAACTACTGATTTCTTGTTATAAAAATTTTTTTGAAGGGCATATCCTTTTTTTTTTCCTTTAAATGTATTTATTAAGATGCAGTCATTTACAGAGTTGTTCCAAATAGAGTTTTTTTAGGCATACAGTGTTATCCCCCAATTACCACCCATCCACCCACCCACCCGTATTCCCTTTCCACCCCCACCCGTATTCCCTTTCCACCCCCACCAACCTTCGGATTAGCAAATGAAATTATTAGGATAACATAAGTCAATAGAAGTCAGTTTGAGAGAGAGAGAGAGTGATTTTGCCTTGCACACAGTTATTTGATCGGGATTCAGTCCCCAGCACCCCATATGGTCCCCCAGCCCCACCAGGAGTGATTCCTGAGTGCAGAGCAAGGAGTAAGCCCTGAGCAATGCTGGGAGTCGCCCCAAAGCAACAGCACCAAAAAAACAGAAATCAGTTTGTGATGATTGATTGCTATATGATGTTAACCTCTGTAATAAATTTAAATCATTTAGTACAATATAATGCCTATTCTTGTAAATTTTTAACCTCGGTATATAAACTAGATTGCACTAAATTTTATTTTGTATTTGGGTCTTATTGTGGTTATCATGTCTTCCTTTTCATAAATAGTGTTTTTTTTAATTCTGTGCTAATATATAAGTTCACATGAAACAGGTAAAATCCACAAATGTAAAATTTATTAAGAGTGAAGAGAACTTAAAAAAATTTTTTTAACTAATTTATTTTTTTTGTAATGGATCCCCTAGAGGTGCAGTTATAGACTTACAAACTTTTGTGGTTATGTTTAGTCATACAGTGCTCAGTACCCATCCTTCCACCAGTGCCCATTCTCCGCCACCAATGATCCCAGTATACCTCCCCCCCCCACACCCCATCCAAGAATTTAAAAAATTTTAATGGAAGATATGATATGCCTTTAAAATATAAAAATACAAAGTGTTTTATCCACAGACAATTCATTATTGTAAACACATGAGGTCATGTAGTAAGCCAGGAGGAAGCCTACCTTTCTTCATCTAGTGGAGGGCCATAGCGACTGAGCGAACCCACTGTCAGTTCGAACTCTCAGTGCCCGAGCTGAGCATCCTCCTGGCCTGGAAAGAAGCTGCCTTGATGCTCCTTGCAAAACTGGTTGCCGGGCTAGGAATCCCCTATGTTGTTGAATGTCCATGAAGCTCTTGCCTTCTGCAGGGCTGAGTCTAACGGGTGCCTTTCCTAGGGATGCCTTTTTATGAAGTGAGCAGGTCTGCAACTACAGCAGTTTTTTTACCTTTCATTCCAGTGTCAGGAAACATAAACAGGAACAAATTGTAACAAGATCCTTGCAGAATAATTAGTATTTTTTTTATCTTTATCACTAAAAGTATACATTTTCACGGTGTTTTAACGGTGGCATTTTGCATTTTATGAGATTAAGATTTTTGTATTTTATGTCACAGTAATCTGCTATAAGCAGTTTGGCCCGTGGCTTATTTTTTTTTTAAATCACAAATTGACTTTTTATAATTCCAGTTGCCTTTGTGTTGTCATAAGCAATAGGAAGTAAATTTTTACCTGCTTAAGGGCACAGGCTTGGATGGACATAATTCTTTTAGTTAAATGTTTTAAAGTTAAATTTTAAATTATGGTGTGGAGAGTCAATTCAGAGGTTCAGGCACTTGCTTCGCATTTGGCCTACCCAGGTTTGACCCCCAACACGGAGTTTAATCCCCTGAGCACCACTAGGTTATAGCCCATAAATTAACAATAGCAATAATAATAATGTTAATGACATAGATACCAGGCTAAGAACTCAGTGTCTTTTTGAAGTGGTATTGCTAGTGTGTTGTCAGCATAAGAGAGATGCTTTATTTCTTGTCTTTTTCTTTTCAAATCGGTAGCAAACAGTGAAGAGCGTGGACCCCAGGAGAAGGTTCATGCACCCGGCCCGCAGTTTGTGAGCGGAGTAATTGTGAAGATTCTCAGCGCTGTCCCTCTGCCTGGCAGGAAGCTCATCAGGGTAATGCTTTCTGCACCCCGTCTGTCTGTCTGTCTGCCCACCGAACCCCAGAGTTGTTAGCCCTCTCTTTTGAAACCTTCCTTGTGTGAAAGAATTTTGAATATGTAAAACAATAAGAATTTCTTCCTCTTAGTAAATAACTTACAAAGTTCTGATGCCACAGAGATTCTTAAATTTGACATGATACGCAATCTGAAGACTAAACTTCACGGGAACAAATTGGAGTGAACGGAGTTTCAGCACACTTCTTTGTGAGGAAGATTACAATCCGTGGCTTATGTTTTATAGGTGTCCCTGATGATGACAGTGTAGTTCAAAAGACAACTGTGTCCTAAGCATTGGAACTCAAAGTAATAAGATGTAGTAAAATACCTTCACAATACTCAGTTTTTTAGAAGACTATTTTTATTTTCAGAGAGAGTGGATTTTTTGAAAAATGCTTTGTGACCAAAGCTGCTTTTTTAAGATCGAATCAGCATTAGAATTGGTTTAAGACTACCATTTGTTTCCATTCCAGGGACTCACTTTCAATATTCTGTCTTAGGAGGGGCAGGTGTTGATCACACACCTCTGATAATGGCCGGAAGGGGCCCCTGAGCCTGCTAAAAAGCACCTCTTGGAAAACCAGAAAAACAGAAAACTGTATTTTTAATCCATGGTGATTGCTTTAAAATACTGTAGCAATTAGAAAAGTTTAAAGCAAAATTTGTTTATTCATGTGCAAATAAATCTAGTTTAAACTATAACAGTTTACTGTCAAAAAAACACAGTGTATGGTTTGTAGCCTTCCACATTTCTTACACAGCAGTATTTATTGAGTGTCCTTTGTGTAAAAATTATATATCTTTTTTACTCCCCTCCCCAACCATTTAAATATAGGGACATTTTTATACAAATGTTCTAAAACATTGCATATTTTTATAAGTTGTTTTACTGACATTTAGCACTGTATGTTCTGTTACTTTGGTTTTGCATAAGACCCACATTTGATCATCTGCATAATTTGGATTGTTGTCATCAATAAGTACTATATCCAAAACCTTAACCTAAAATCCTGTAGCTATTGCTGCCATAAATTTAAGATTCTCTTTCTTAAATTAGATTTCTCAATTTTAAGATAATGACATGACTTGGTCGCTACCAAAGTGATGGTGTAATCAGCTTGCATTTGAGGTACCTTAGTAATAAAGAATTTCAGAGAAAAAGACAAAAATTATTGAGGATATAAATGCTAGTTGTCATTAGATAGCAAAAAAATTAATAGAAAAATTACTCAACATTTGCATTTGAAATTATTAACCAAGATCTAAATTACATTTTCAAATAGTTCTTGTTATTTCAGTAGTTATTGTATTGTGTTAATCACAGATTCTTCATTTATGATCTCAAACTTGTTAAATAACAGCTTTAAGTAAGTTCATGACTTATATTTTACTGGAACAAAAGCTCAGATGGTTACTGCTCTCTGACTTGCCCATGAGGTTATTACACTAATTTGTCATTCTTAGCAGGTTTTAAATGGAAGATTAGCCTGATTATAATGGATATTTAGTAAATATCTTTTGAATTGTTGTAATCTGATGAATTGGTTATAAAAAGTCACTACTCTTAGTAAATTCTTCAAATTTCACCAGTTTGATGACCTATTTTCTGCTTAAATTTTTATCACTTATTGGCTGTCTATGACAAATATACATTTCTTGTTATTCTTTGATGAAATAATACTTGCTCTAGCTCAGTTCTTTCTGTACTTCTGAATCTAAAAATTAAGCATCTGAAGCGATCTACATTAGCATTTAAATTAGTTTTGGTTTGAAATTTGAAATAGCCAAAAAGGGTGAAGGAGATGACTAAAGCCTTCTTTCCCTGGGAATCTCCAGTGATTTCTTGAACTTTATGAATGGAAGTTGATGAATTTAGAATTAGTGTAACATTCCTGCATAATTGCTTTGTGTACTCTCCAACCTGCTGTGACTCCCCAGAGCAGGTCATTAGAAATGCAGGAATCTTGTTAATTTGCCCTCACAGCAGGCTCTGTAGGTGAAATTGTGCTTTGCAGGGTGACCATTAAGTGTTTAGAAGAGGTTACTTAGGCATTGTATCCGAAAGAACCATGGGCCTGTATTTCTATGGTCTGTAGGAGCTGTAAGTAAGTTTTCCAAGTTTCATCAAAGGTGGGGGGGGGGGGGGCAAGGGGGGCGGGGGGAGGGGAAGATAGGTCCTGATAGGCAGCCAGGTAGATGACCCTTCTTCTCCATGAATAGTTGTCAAAGGTTTAGTTTTTCCTGGAAAAATAAAAAGGTGTGGGTCTGTGTGTATTACTGGTTTTCATATTGTGTTTTTCTCCACACAAAAACTGCACAGACCCTTTGTTGGTGTGGAACCTTCCTCTTCTTGATTTGGGGGTGCAGGGAAGTACTCGTCCATTTGCTCTGCCTATGTATGCGGTTGCCATAGAGCTGTTCTGGCTAAAATGCAAAGGATATGAGCGAACAGAAAAGTTACGAGTTGATGTGGCGTTAGTTTTCATCTTCTTCCAGTCAGTTTTGAAGAACATTTGTGTGTGTGTTTACGAGAGATATTTGATGCAGGTTAGCCTCCCTCATTGAGGGCTGCATATTATCTATATAATGCATTCTGTCCGAGCCTTTGGGATAATATTAAAATTATTCTGGAAGCTATTGTGCTTATTCCTTAAGTCTTTCTAAATTCTGCGGCAGGATACTTTGGCAGCCATCTCAGAAGTTGTATATGTTGATTTGCTGGAAGGAGACACAGAGTGCCACGCCCGATTCAAAACTCCTGAGGATGCCCAGGCAGTCATTAATGCATATGCAGAAATTAAAAAGAAGCACTGCTGGAAACTCGAGATCCTTTCTGGTAAAACTTCCCGGACTCCTGTATTCACTCTTCTTGTGGGATGGTCACAGTAATTTCACTATATGGGAATGTACCCACAGTGGCTTTCAGTGTCATCAGAGAATTATTTTCCTTCTCCTACTGAGACGGGAAGATTCCTCAGCTATGTTTCCTCATGTGATCGGTGATTTTGGTTGTTTCTAAGGTGACCATGAGCAGAGGTACTGGCAGAAGATTTTGGTAGATAGACAAGCCAAACTTAATCAACCTCGGGAAAAGAAGAGAGGTACTGAGAAGGTAAATCAATTGATGTATTTTGTTTTTGCTAAGATAATCTTGCTTATTTCCCAGACGTTGATCGTCTTCTGAAAGGTTAGTAACCTGTGGTCCTGAAATAACAAAAAAAATGCAGGGTATATTAAAGTTGTTTCTCTTTTTTAAATGTAATGTGCAAATTTGCCTGTGGGGGGCGGGGTTGGCCTCCACCCATGCTGCTGGAGTCCCGTGGGGGCCAGGGGCTACTCTTAGCTCTGTGTGACTGTATGCAGAGTTCGCTCTTGGAGATGTCCAGTGGATCAAAGTGGGCTTGTCTGTATGCAGGCCAGGTGCCCTCACCCTCCACTCTTCCTTCTTGTCCTTCAGACAGAAGCCTCTGCAGCTTCACTGAGGCGCTGTATACATGGCATTCTCCACAGCCATGCTGTGCTTTCTTGGTAATCAACAAGTAATATAAACAAGCTTAGATATTAATTTGAAACATGTCTTTCATGATTCATTTTAAATGATACTAACATAGTAATTATCGTTAGTGAACTCTGAAGTTTATTGTTTAAACCAAATTATGTGAGTCTTAGAAGACCTTTTGGCTTTGACAAAATTGGGCAAATAGCTCATATTATTATGAAGATTCTGTTTGTTTGTTTTTGAGTCACACCCAGCAATACTCAGTGACTCCTGATTGCACTCAGGAATTACTCTTGGCGGTGCTCGGGGATGCCTGGGATCGAATCCTGGTCAGCTGTGTGCAAGGCAAGTGCCTTTCATGCTGTACTGTTTCTCCAGCTCCACTATGAAGATTTTTAATGTACATAATAAACACCTGGGAGATCTTTTTTTCTTTTAATTGGTTAGCACTTTAAAAGACCATCCTTAAACAAGAAAAAATACAGCAAGCAAGGCATTGCCCTCAACCTTGATTCAGTGCCTGGCACCCTGTATGTTTCCCTGAGCACCACTACTGTGGCCCAGAAACAGCACCACTGGTGTGACTCAAGAACAAAAAAAGTCATGGTCCCTAAATTCTTGGTTTGTTGATTTGGGGTTATATTTATAAAATTCTTTTGGGGGGGGGAACTGGCACTTGTCCCCATGGCATACAGAGCTCATGTTGTTTCATCCTTGTACTAACACCATCAGAGTTCTGTCTTTAGAAGAGTTTAATTTTGCTGTTATTGTTTGGGGGCCACACCGAGTGGTGCTCAAAGCTTACTCGTGACTCTGTGTTCAGAGATCACTCCTGGCGGGGCTCAGGAAACCATATGGGGATCCAACCCAGGTCAGCCACTCAGGGCAAATATCTCCCTGCTATTCTCTCATTCCAGCCTCTCATTCACTATTACTATCACTGTCACCCCATTCTTCATTGATTTGCTGAGCGGGCACCAGTAACATGTCTCCACTCGTCCCTGTCACATGCTAGTGTAGCCCGATGGCATACTGGAGACTCTTTCAGGGTCAGGGGAATGAGGACCATCGTTGTTACTCTTTTTGGCATATCAAGTACTCCACAGATTGCTTGCCAGGCTCTGCCCTGCGGGTGGGATACTCTTAGTAGCTTGCTGGGCTCTCCAAGAGGGATGGAGGCTTTTGGGACAGCGTCTAATCACCTTTACAGGTGTTCCCAATCAGACATATACGCAGGCAGGATACTCTCGGTAGCCTGCCGGGTTTTCTGAGAGTGAGAACTAGACAATAAGAGGTCATGTGGCCGCAAATGCTTCCACACGCTTCTAGGAACTTGGTTTTATAGTCTCTGGATCTTGGCTGTTGATGGGTTTACACGGCAGTTGTTGGTTGTAACTGTCTAGCTACCAGAAGATGGGGGATCTAGGTGGAGGAGGCACAGTCCTGAACCAAGCAGGCTTGGAGATCTCAGCCCTGGGTCCCGCACACCTGGGTTCCTCTGCCGGTTCCTTCATGCATGAGGCTTGTCCTAGCGTGTGAGAGTGATCTCAGCATGGCTGTGGCTGGGTCCCAGAGGTCTTCAGCTGCCGGGACTCTGCTCAGGGCGGAGAGGGAAACTCAACCCGCCCCCTCCAAAGCACCCTGGTGAGGAAAGCCAGGCACGGGGGTAGGAGACTCTGCGTTGTTCTCTTCTGGGAGCTTGGTTTTACAGTCTCTGGATTTTGGCCATTGATGGGGTTACACAGCAGTTGGTGGGTTCCCTATCATTCATTACTCTTTTAAATAAAAGGTTGGTTTTTTGTTTGTGTGTTTGTTTGTTTTTTGGCTCTTTGGGTCACACCTGGTGATGCACAGGGATTACTCCTGCCTCTGCACTCAAAAATTACCCCTGGTGGTGCTCAGGAGACCATATGGAGTGCTGGGCATGGAACCTGGGTTGGCTGCATGCAAGGCAAACGCCCTACCCACTGTGCTATTGCTCCAGCCCCCAAGAGGTTTTTATTGAGATGGATATTTGTGCAGTTTTTCTAGTCATGGCTTTTTTTTTTTTTTTTAAGATACTCAGCACATTCTAATTTCTGATTTCTTTTTCTAGTTAATCACCAAAGCAGAGAAGATTAGACTGGAAAAGACTCAGCAAGCAAGTAAACACATTAGATTTTCTGAATATGATTGAAAAGTTTTGGTTTACCTCTGAATATTTCACTGGATACTTAAGCTATTAAAAATAAAATAAAAATCCATTTTTATTATAGTAATACATAGTGATTGTTTCTCTAAAATGTACAATTAATGAAAAGAAATGCCTTTACGGGGCTGGAGTGATAATACAGTGGGGAGACCATTTGCCTTGCACACGGCCGGCTCGAGTTTGATCCCTGGCATCCCATATGGTCCCCCAAGCACTGCCAGGAGTAATTTCTGAGTGCAGAGCCAGGAGTAACCCCTGAGTGTTGCTGGGTGTGACCCAAAAAGAAAAAAAAATAACTTTGTTCCTTAACTTGGAAGGAGAATTTTTTCAAGAGGCACATTATATACCACAGTTTTCCATTAAGCATTTGTTTGTTGAAATTATATGTACTTTAGTAAATAAATGTGTTTTGAACATGTAGCCTTGGTGGTTTTTATATTACCAAAGACAGCATTTGTAAAAATGACATAATAATCCTCACTGAATTCGCTTTTTTCCTTCATGAATCTTGGCTATCCTTGGTGTAGATTTATACAGAGGTATATTCTGTTTTTTGCAAACACAGCTCCAGAGGAAGCCCTTGGCTGACTCACTCTCATCACCATCAGAGACAGGTCAATAGTGGACCCGGCAACTTACTGACAGGAAAGTACAAGAGCAGCTGACAAACCCTGGGTCACCATTCTTTGGACTGCAGAAAGTCAAAACTAGGGGCCCAAGAGATACTACAGCATGGAGGGCACTTGCCTTGCACGCGGCTGACCTTGGGTTCAACCCCTGGCAGACCATATGCCCCCTTTCCCTTCCCCCGGACATTGCAAGGATTCATTTCTGAGTGCAGAGCCAGGAATGAGTCCTGAGTTCTGCCAGGTAAGGCCCAAGACCAAAAAAAAAAAAAATGTCGAAACTAAACACAAGGTAGATGAGTAAGAAAGCCAGTGGGGAGCAGAATGGATGCTGCAGGGGGCTGAGTGGGCTTTCCACATGGGGAGCCAGGGTCAGGCCTGGTCCCTCCCTGGGCAGCCCTGGAGTGCTGTCGGGTCAATGAATGAAGCAGAGCGTGTTTGGTTACCTCTGCTCCAGCTCTGCACCTGTTCACTGGAGGCGTTGTAGAGGCCATGGAGCAGAGTCAGCGACTTGGTACCAGCGCTCTCAGACCCAGGAACTCCCGTTCCCAGACACTGATGAGCCAAGCCTTGGTCAGAGGCATTAGGTCAGCAGTCTCAGGAGAAGGAAGCCTACAGGTCCTTGCTGAAGAGGGTGCAGGTGAGCTAAGTGGTCACCCCACAGGTGGTTCTTTGTAGGTGTGAAGTTGAGAAAATGGCACCTGTATGAATCCTGGTGCAGTAGGAAGTTGCCTGGTGTGCCTGAGAATGTCAACGGCTGACGGAGGTGGGTAAGGGAAGAAGCCACTGGGAAGGTGGTTCTAGGACTGGAGAGTTGGCTTGGTTTTGCACACGCTCTGAAAGTACATCCGTACGTACTGCAGTGTACGCATTGCTTGAGGGAGCCCAAGCTTGGATCCTCAGCACCCTGTGGTCCCTGAAACACCTCAGTCCCCTCACCACTGCCAGGAGTGGCCCCCAGACACCCACAGACACCCCCTCCAGCACCTCCTCCACCAAAACAAAAGATAAAAAATGGTTTAGGCAGATTAAGGTTGGTCTACAGAGTTTACTATTAGGCTTGTTAGGCTTAGGAATTCACCCTGTAGACAGCTGGAGGTTTAAAGTAGTAAAAGATGGGCCTGGAGCCATTGTAGACTAGGGAGGGTGTTTGCCTTGCACATGGCTGACCCTGGTTCGATTCCCAGCATACCATAAGGTTCCCCGAGCACTGCCAGGAGTAATTCCTGAGTTCAGAGCAAGGAGTAACCTCCGTGCATTGCCAGGTGTGACACCCCTCCACCCCCCCAAAAAAAGCTAGTGAAAGATAATCATGAACATGAAATACCAAGCTAATAAAATCAATGTAAAATGGTCCATTTTTCTGATTTGTTGGGGGCCACATTTGGCGCTGCTCAAGGTTATGAGGTTATGGTCAGGATCTCTGGGCTGGGAACTGCCATGCCCGAGCTCTCCAGCTCTTGGAACTTTCTCTCTCTCTCTCCCTCCCTCCCTCCCTCCCTCCCTCTCCTCTCTCTCTCTCTCTCTCTCTCTCTCTCTCTCTCTCTCTCTGGCTGGCCCCAAATGATCAGTTACTTGAAGTGAGGAAGGCAGAAACAGCAGAACAAGATTCGAATAGTTGGAGGAGAAGGAAAGGGGATTGTGGACGCCGAGTTCCGGTCAGGAAAGGGAACAGGCCACTGACTGATCACCTACAGAGATTGACTGAACAGGAGCCGGGGCTGCTGGTGAGATTTCTGGCTGGAAGACAGAACAGCAATTGATTTTTATTTTTTAAAGGAAAGATGAGAGCTGACTTTCAGGAAATGGACTGGTGGTGGAGTGGAGGAATGAGTGTAAGCATTTTTTGTTCTTTTTTTTTTTTTTTTGATGTGGATGTTGGGGCTAAGCCAACAGTGCTCAGGGGTGACTCGTAGCTCTGTGCTCAGGGATCAGTGCAGTAAGTGCTCAGGAAGATCGTGCAGTGCCAGAGAGGGAACCAGAGTCGGCAGCAGGGAGGGCAGCCAGACACGCCCCTCTCTGGACACTCTACCCAGCCACTGCATGGGAAATGTTTAATATATGTTGATTTGCGGGTAGAGTTCCCAATGGAAATTTCTTCTTGCTGTTTGGACATAGAGGAGCCACACTCAGCAGCAGCCAGATTCAAGGACTTGGGCCAGAGTGATAGCACAGCAGGGAGGGCGTTTGCCTTTCACGTGGCCGACCTGGTTTGAGCACCATATAGTCCCCTGAGCACCTCCAGGAGTAACTCCTGGTTCAGAGCCAGGAGTAACCCCTAGCATTGCCGGATTTGACCCAAAAAAGAAAAAAAAATCAGGAACTTGAGCTCTCTCCCAAATAGCTCTGCTACTAAAATTGTGATGCTAGTGTCGTACCCTAGGGAAGAAACCGTCAGGCTCTCAGTGTTGGTCATAGGCCTGGAAGTACTTATTAGATGTGCAGGCTTTCAGATGCACAGAAGTACAAGCTCAAGCCCAACAAAGTTGGGGTCAGTCACTTTGTATTGCACAAAACACCGCGTTTGCTGTGGGACTACACCTGGCAATGCTCAGGGCTCACTCCTGGCTCTGTGCGGATCAGGCCTGGGTTAGCTGCGCACAGACAAGTATCCTGCCCACTGTCCTATCACTCCAGCCCTGAACACCAATGTTTAAATCCTACAGGGAGCAATTACTCTTAACACTTTGCATTTCACCTTATTAGAGTTCAAAATGCAGGGACAGGGAGACAGCAGGCGGAGCTCTGGCTTTGTGTGGAACAAGCCCAGGCTTGATCCCCAGCACCATGAGGTCCCCCAGGTCCGTCAGGACTCCCAGGCACTGAACTGGAAGTTGACCCGGGAATGTGATCTTAAAGCAGAAACATGCAGTACACATTGTATACTTAAAACTGCATTTAGAGGGGCCAGAGCAGTCGTACAGCAGGTAGGGCGCTTTCCTGCCGTGCGGCCAGGTTGATTCCGAGCATCACACATGGTCCCCAGAGACCTGCCAGGAGTGATCCCGAGAAATAAGGCCACAGTTAAGCCTTCTGACCCACTGCACCACAAGTGGTTTCCTAATCATGGCTCGGAGTGAGCACAGAGCTAAGAGTAGCCCCTGAGCACTGCCAGATGTGGCCCAAAACCTCTATAAACTGCATTGCTGTCCCTTTATTTGTTTTTTTTTTTTGCTCTATTTTGGGGTCACACCCAGCCATGCTCAGGGGTGACTCCTACCTCTGCACTCAGGAATTACTCCTGGGGATGATATTAGATGCTGGGAATTGAACCCTCGTCGGCCTTGTGCAAAGCAAACACCCTCCCCACTGTACTATCGCTTTGGCCCCTGTCCCTTAATTTAAAAACAAAGAAGGAGGCGGAAGGGCAGAGTGATAGTACAGCTGGTAGGGTGTTTAACTTGCATGCAGCTCACCCAGGTTTGATCCCTGGCACCCTATATGGTCCCCTGAGCACTGCCAGGAATGATCCCTGAGCATAGAGCGAGGAATAAGCCCTGAGCACTGGTGGGTGTGCCCTTGCCTGCAAAAAGAAGGAAAAACATTCTCACAAATACAATATTCACATTTAATATGAGTGAGAACCCTTGACATCTGTGCAATATTCCATCCACCCTTGCCTTGAACTTAAATCATAGTATTGGAAAACATCTGAAAATTCTAGGAGGAAGTGGTGACCCACTTAAAATTGTTGTTTAAAGCTGATAAATTGTTGGTTTTTAGCTTCGAATCAAGTTGTTTTCACAGTCATCATTTTCAAGCTCCTAGAATAAAATTGGATAATTAGTATGCATCTCTATTACCCAGGAAATCTAAACAGTCTTAAGAGGAAGTAATGCAGAAAACAAAAAGGAAAAGAATGCTTGGAAGCTTTAACTGCCATTACTAAGGAGACCAACTTTATTTACCAGGCCTCTAGATATTTTCAAAAAGCAGATAAATTTGACAGACTAAGAAACAAATGCTAAGTCCCTAAAGATATGTTTAAATTATCCAAAATACTGAAAAATATCTCCATTAAGTTTGGGTTTGTTTTGTTTTGTTTTGTTTTGTTTTGGTGGGGCTGGAGTGATAGCACAGCTATAGGGCGTTTGCCTCGCATGCGGCCGACCTGGGTTTGATTCCCAGCATCCCATATGGTCCCCTGAGCACTGCCAGGAGTAATTCCTGAGTGCAGAGCCAGGAGTAACTTCTGTGCATCACTGGATGTGACCCAAAAAGCAAAATATAATATATTTTTTTGCATAGATAACATTCCCCAAGTCAAGTAATTAGAAAATACATAAGGAGTTGCTACTGGCTCTGCACTCAGGAATAACTCCTAGCAGCCGTTGGGATGTCGGGGATGGAACCTGGGTTGGCCGCATGCAAGGCAAGTGCCCTCCCTACTGTATATTACTCCTCCCCCATAAGTTTTAACTCTTAAGGTAAATTCCTAGAAACGTTTATGGCAAAGCAAAGGGTAAAGTACAAGGAAGAAGGCACATGAACTCCTTGGTAAAGCCCAGCCGAATAGGGCCAGAGAGATAATGCAGTGGGTAAGGCATTTTGCCTTGCATGTGGCCGACCCAGGTTCAATCCCTGGCACTCCATAGGGTCCCCAAGAGCCCACCAGGAGTGATCTCTGAGTGAAGAGCCAGGAGTAACCC